TTACCGCTAAGATCACTTAATTTTTGATTTTTAATTGATCGTCTCTGTATATGTATCTGATTATATTATACGTTGATTATTCACTTATGTGACCAGACCATAATACATTATGATGTAATTTCATGAAATAATAGACCACAGCATGGAGTATTCTGTATTTTGCTTCATACTCAATAAGTTTTGCTCATAAAACATAATTTTTAATTTGGCATGGAAAATTAGCCATTTTAATTTTGAATATCCAACTATAATGAAAAGGACATAATAACTCATCAATATCGGTTCAGCTGTTGAGTAGTTAGAGGCGGACAACATATAAGCTTTACTTATTTTGGCTGGGCAAATGAGTATTTTTCAGAATCGATACAGAATACACGGTAATCTGTATAATATAGAATCAATTAATAATAGGTAATACTGCAGTGTAGTTTTTAATTGTACAATATCAGTTGTAATTTTATTGATTGCGAAAACTTTTTAGGTTTATCATTACATCACTTATTCTATTATCGGTACTAGAATATTTGCAAAAAAACACCTGCATGTACACCTAATATTCAAAACAATTGATACAAAATAATATTAATCACGATAACTTTCTATCTATATAAGTATTATCAGTATAAGATCGCAATCAATTTAATACTTGAATAAGGAACTAGATATTCGTATTCTATATTTAATTATTTATTACTTCTTATTTTATTATTTATTTAAAAAACATCTGTTTTTAATAGCCTTCTGACCATATAATAATATATCAATAATGTCTTTGATTTGTATGATTGAAGATGCTGATAATTTCTTTCTCAGCTCGCAACCTTCTAGACTTATTTAGATTTTAGGCTCCATATTCATAAAAGTGATGTCCATCCATCTCTGCCAACTGTACGGTGCAGCGGTGTGAACGGCGGCTCTGAGTGCCCAGAATAGGGCGCGGATCTCCAACCTCTGAAAGTCCGCCCGCGCCGTACCGCATCGTGTCGATGATATCGGCGATAGCTGAATTCTAGACTGCTGAACTCTAGCTGAATTCTAGGCGGGGGCCAGAAGAGGTGAAGTGAAGCCGCTCGATGGCTTGTCGGTAGTCCCGGCTGGAGGCACCACATACTGATCTAAAGTGGGTGCCATTGGGTACAACTCTCTAGTTGAACTCTAAGGTGGTGCCCAGGCTACTGCAGGCAGGCGCTAGGAGCAGTCCTGATATCTTGATAACAGCAGTTCCCGGATCCCTCCTATTTCAGGCACAGGTATGGTTTTAGTCGGTTTGATTCTGACACACACACCGCAAAATCTGGGTGAGGTGAAGACCCGAGGGGGTTTCGACACCACCAACACCAACCAATTCCCAAACCAATTACCAATTCCCAGTGTCAAATTGTTTTTTTTTCTTTTCTTTGGAATGTAAAATTCCAGTGAATTTTTTACTTCTTCTCAGTATCTTACAACTAATAATACAGAACTTTTTTAAAGAGTTCGTACCATTATGAACAAAGCTCCGTGATAATTAGATACACTCAATTGTCCGTGTGGTGACGGATCAAGCATACATAGTGTCACCACCCTGTTCAACCCATGGGTGTCGTAAAAACCGACTAAGGGAGCAAGCTACGCAGGACAACAGTACTGCAAAGAGAAGGCAAACTTGACACAGACCCTTTTTTTTTTTTTTTTTTTTTTTTTTAACGTGTGGAAATCCCCTCGGACCGTCACCCCACCGGGGTTTGCGGCGGGGTGGTGTGTCGGACTCGAACCGACTAAAACCACACGGTGTGCCCTCTTTGCGCTTCCAGTTTAGGAGGGGTCCAGGTAGTTATCGCCTTCTGGACCCCTCCTAGCGCCGGCCCGCTCCTATTGCGGGCCCCGTCTCAAGATTTTCCTCTCTTTAGGCGACGTCCGGCACACGCGGACGCCGCCCCCTCGCGGCTGGCCAACTAATGCGGGTGGAGGGGAAACCCACCCCGTCCACCCGCGGCCACACTCAGAGCGGCATGAGGCGCAGGTAAGCGCGCCTCCGCCGCCCGGTTCGCCGGCGGCGGATCAGGTCCGAGTGGAGGTCGTCCTCCCGGGCCTTCTCCGCCGCCTCCTTCTGCGATATTACCTCCTCGCAGAAGGTTGCGACCGCGGTAAAACAACTGTCGCTACCGGCCATGGAGCGAATTACGGCCAGTAGCGAGAGATCTGCTCCGATGACTGCAGTGAGGGCCCGGCGCTGCGTCGCCCATGCGGGGCAGACCGCCAGCGTGTGCTGGGCCGAGTCCTCACTGCAGTCGCAGTGGTGGCAGGCGGGACTCAGTTCCCTCCTAGCAACCGAGTGCAGGTACTTTCCGAAGCAACCGTGCCCGGAAAGCACCTGCGTCAGCCGGAAGGAAAGGGCCCCGTGCTGCCGCCCTGCCCACTCGGCTATGACCGGCTGGAGAGCCTCCACGGCGGCGAAGCCAGCGCGTGGAGTCTCCAGCCGGAACGACCATCTGACCATGGTGGCTCGGCGAGCGGCTTCGCGCCACTCGCGCACGTCCTCGGGCGGAGGGCGAAATCCGCTCTCCGCCCGGAAGTCAGCCACTCGCCGATAAACTTCGGCGAGCACTTCCGCCTCCAAATCCCACGGGGGTGTTCCGGCCAAGGCGCAAGCCGCCTCGGTGGACACCGTGCGGTATCCACGTATGGCTCTGACCGCCAATATCCTCTGGGGGCGCCAGAGGCGCGCCCTATTCGGGGCGGTCAGGGCCGCCACCCACACCGGTGCACCATAAAGCGCCATGGACCGGACAACCCCCGCGTACAGCCGCCTCGTGGGAACACTGGCCCCGCCCAAATTGGGCAAAAGTCGCCCTAGGGCGGAGGCAGTGTCCACCAGCTTCGGACCAAGCTGTCGGAAGTGCTCGTCGAAGAGCCGCCTACCGTCTAGGACCAGACCCAGGTACCTCATCTGGGCCCGGACCGGTACGAGGACCGAGCCGACCTCGATTGAGGCGCCGGCGGGTGGACCACGACGGGGCCCATGAAATAATAGGGCCTCCGTCTTATCCAGGGCCACCCGTAATCCCAACGCCTCAATGCGCCCGACCACCTGGGAAACTCCCGTGGCGGCCAGGCGCGCCGCCTCCTGGAAGTTAGCCCCCCGGGCCGTGAGTAAGGTGTCATCCGCGTAGCAGATTACACCCAGCCCAGGGGGGAGACGCCCTCGTAGGGCCCAGTCGTACCCGATGTTCCACAGGAGAGGTCCTAGGACAGACCCCTGCGGAACACCGCACGACATGGCCCTGCGTCTCAAGACGCCATTTCGGTCCTCGTACATGACGGTTCGCTCCTCAAGATAATCTGCCACCAGCCGCCTCAGGTACTCTGGCACTCCGTGGTAGCGGAGCGCTTCCCTGATGCAGCTGAATGGCAGACTATTGAAGGCGTTGGCGATGTCCAAGGACACCGCCAACACCACTCCGCCGCAGCTCACGGCCTCCTCGGTCACGGCCCTAAGGCGCATTACGGCATCGATCGTCGAACGCCCCGCTCGGAAACCGAATTGGGCGTCCGACAAATCGGGGCCAACCTCGCAAAGGTGCCGGACGATGCGGGCAGAGAGCAAGACCCTATACTAACCTGTCTGGCCAGCGTGGTATAGTAGGCCAAATCCTCTTTTAAAACTGATTTCTAAGACACGAAAACATGACTGTAAAATATCATAAACAAAAATATAACATCTGTAATAATATCTAAATAATACATACAAACATAGGATTTGTCTAAAACGTTGTAGTATGCTTTGGTATTTCCAACGTAAGATCTGATGATCTCAATTATCTAATGTGTGTGTCATATATGCCTAAATGATGAAAGTTTCTTGAGAGACATTGGAGTAGCGTAGAGTAAAAGAGTAGAGTAAGAGAGAATAGGACAAGAGAGGATATCAATGTTGCGGAGGAGATGAATTGGAACTTAAATTTAGTACAAAATCCAGAGATGTGATCATATTATTATATTTATATAACCAAAAATTAATGAAATACATAAATTCTGAAATCTCTCAAGTTTAAAGAATTGGACCTTAATATAAGATACGATGAAATACAAAAAAAATATAGATACGAAATAGTCATGATACTCGAGAGGTTAAGGCGTTCAACTGAACTGAGAAGTTGTGAGTTCGAATCCCTTTGAGCCCTTGGGTTTTTGACCTGAAATCACATTTTCCGAGTCCTCCCCAGAGTAACCCTAACCCCAGAGCCCGAACCCAGCCGTCGGGTGGTTTGTAGTGGAAACACCACATACTCGTGGCTCCTGCGTCTCGAAGAGCCGAAGATCCGAAGTGTCTTATACAAAGTTCCAGAAGGTTTATGAACTTTTCCTAATGATATCATAATAACCCGACTAACGGGAAACCTGCTTTGGAAACCTCTGGAACATCGTGGTACATTTTGGAATGTTTGTACTTTTTCTCGAACATTCAATTTTAATTTCGTTTAGTTCCGCTGTTGGATTACTTCGGGGATTATAATAATACCTTTTTTATAGTGCACAGGTTATACATAATCGGTCGTGCTCCACACAATTGTTTTATAAGTTGAACTATTTGAAAATTATGATACAAATATAAATTTGCCCGATATTCTCATAGCTATACCTATACCATGATTTATAATTATATGTAATGAAACACAAAGGCTATAATAATGGGTATTCTGACCGCTTTTGTTTTTCAAATAGTTGTTATTGTCAGTGCTATTATTTTGCGATCAACACCTTATATTTAAAATGTAATAAACCACCAATAATTTTAATTTTCAACAAAGGGTAACAATCTGTGATACGGGAAACCAATGAACACTGAATTAACTGTATTTTTTGTAGTAGGAGTCGATCTGTTATTGTGCTCTCATGTTACTACGTGGGTGAAGGAAGTTCACAATCTAAACACAATGTGATAAACTGCCAAATCGTCAGATTCGTCAGTCCGTACGGTCATCTCGGGATTGCTACAGACTCATTCGTATCTGCAAAAAATGGAGCGTAGTATTTGTTTTATCATCGTTTTGTTCGTGTGTAGCGTTGCATCGCGACATTTGGTGCTTCAAGAACAGATCATTGTCCCTCAAAGTATGGACAGGGCTGAAGTTATTATGGAGAATATGTTCGATGAAGATTCACCGGTGAGCAATGGAGGTTGTCCGCCAGGTTTGCAGCTGGATATCTCCGGGACCTGTCGTGAAGTCTGGTACGAAGACTGGTGATTCAAAAGAGTTAGACTAAGGTTCTAACTAACATGTTTCTTACTTCAATACAATATTCCCTTCTTTGTATTTTTGTGTTTCTATATACCTAATGCTAATTAAATAATACAGTGTGCGATATTATTTTTTGTATGTTCTACTATTTCAATGTATAAATTCTGCTATCATATTGATTACTACCACCCAGTATTGTCTGCTACCCAGTATTGTAATCAATAGTCAGATTACAAGACTGGGTCCTATGATTGAAATCTGGATTGATTATTAAATTAATCCAGATTTTAGAGTATGTGGTAGACATGTCCGAAAATAAATTTACATAAACTAAAATCGGAAAAACTAAATTACACATATATATTATTGTACTGAGGTAAAGCCATTTCTGTTTCCATAAATGGCAAATTTTACCTGACAATTCCTAACTTCAAAAACATTCAAAACAGAAAAGATAAAAAGGAATTAACAATGTAAGCTATACGTTTATTATAATTTATTAAAAAAATGAGAAAAGTTATCAGTAAGTAGTAATATTTGGGCTAACTGAAGAAGGAACATTTGCTTAAAAACCAGTTCGGCAGGCCTTTTTGCAGTTTTAGGTAATTAAAATTGCAGTTGAGTAAGAAGGGTCTTGGTTCCTGTTTATAGGTCGAAGAAAAGGAGCGAGGTACTTCCAAGTGTCAAGTTTTTCAAGAGTAGGGTTAAGTGCCTTTGGTAGCCATACCGCAATAAGTGATGCGATGTAACCTTGGACGCTGTTCACGTAACCTTCTAAAACTGCTTCGATTATCGTGTTCACCAAGGCATCAATGTCTTCACCACCGACAGTACCGGTCAACTGAGACTAGAAACAAATATGTTTTATGAAAATTGAAATTGCGGCAGCCATTGTCGGGTAATCCTGAAAAAAAATAGTAACAAGGAAATGCAATGTTCCTGTTATTAATTGCAGTTTATTGAAATTATTCGGAAGTAAAGGATTATTTTTACTATCTTTCATGTAAATGTACAGTTTGCACATAATTAGGTTAAACCTTGATGACAATACTTATTTCTAGGTTAAAACTCTCTAATGTGTTTTTCTGTACATTTAACAAATTATATTATTTCAAACTATGTACCGATGACAACTGACTGAGAGACAGTGCAAAAAACGAAATGCTATTATTATATACATACCTTAAAAGAAGAAATTGTGAATGATGTTTTTTCTACACGATCGATGATCACAGCTGTTCCATCATCGGACTGTTTCAAGTAGATTTTGCCCCGGAAACGTAATCCGTCGACTTTGAATCTATAAATTAAATAATTTCATACAATTATTCTCAGATTAATTAACGTTAACTTTACCAATTTTGTATAATAGACCCACTTACACTGCCTTTCCTTCTCCGTACAAAGAAATAGCTAAGAATAAATTACCGAATAAGTAGTAATGTTCTGAAACACACCAAGATTTATCAACACCAACATAGCTTCAATGCATATAATATATAGTACCTAGTAGCCATGAAAAATCATGATGAATCAGAAGGCCAATTCTCGTACTAAAAGTTCGGTCACAATTCAGTTTCGATCAACTTTCGTTTTCACAACTGCCATAAAACTTATTTTCGTTGTAAAATAATAGGGATTAAAGTATGAAATTGCCGTTGGATAGTAATAGATACTTTGAATTGCCATAAAACCTTCATGGTGTGAGATTTTTTTTGAGGAGGCCAATATGGGCCAGGCGCCTATCGGCCTCCTCCCGCTGCCGAGCTAAGCTTAATCAAGCGCAGCGGGTAGCGGCCATTGTGATCGTACGAGGATACCGCACTATTTCGTCGGAGGCGGCGACAGTCCTGGCACGTTTCCCGTCCTTTGACATCCTGGCGGATATGGACGCGAGCATGCATTGCTTGCATTCATTTTTCCCCCGAATGTAAGTAGAACAAAGTAGTCAATTAACCAAAGTTCAAAGTGCATGTGTACAAAGTTTAAACTTACCGGCGGAGACGACCATAGAAGGTATTGTCATGTCAACATCGTAGGAAAGTTCTGGTACAGATAAGCGACTCTGGTGTATTAAGAAATTACTGAGACCCGTTACTAGGATTTTTTCCAGGTTCAATTCTAGACTACGGAATAATAACATTGATTAAAAAGTACATATTATTATATTTTGAAGTGCGTCTGTGTTAATGGTAATGGTTTTTTTTATCTTTTGTGGTTTTATTATTGTTAAAATGTATTATTAAACTGTAAATATTAACAATTTCGAGACTTACCTTAGGAATGCAAGAGGCACGGTAATATTCAATTTGTCGATTTGGAGCGGGTCCAGTATTGGAATTCCAAAGGCTTCAGAACCATGTTTAATGAGGTGCCTGACAAACTTAATTAGCTGACGAATCAGGGCGTTAACGGTTTCGTTTATTATCCAGTTTCTTTCTGGAGCCTCACGAATTACGGTATCTAGTCCAAGTGAACAAAAAAAATGAAATTTTAATCTTACAAGGTTGTAACGATTTCAAAAAAGCTGTTTAACATAATGCTACGTTGCTTCTTGCAGGAAATAATATCTATAAGTTAATATGTATAAAACGTTGATCGACTTGTTGCTACGAATCACATCACACTAATTAATAAAAAGGCGAAAGTTTGTGAGTATGTGTCGTGTTTGTATACTTATTACTTCTTCACGCTTACGGATGGACCAAAGTTGATAAAATTTGGTATGGAGCTGACACACTGGATTAAAACGTAGACTCATTTTTATTCCGAAAAATGTAGTCTTGATTAGATAAACCGCAGGTAACACTGCGAGTCGCAGATAGTGACATTTGAAACTAACTTAAGATTCTTAAGAACATAATATTATAAACATAAAAGTATTATTTTAAGCTAATTTTTTATTACCGTTCATTGACCACATTATAACGTCAGTGTCATACCAAGGAAAATCTGTCAATGGCCTTGATTTTTTTTTTATACTTATTTTCTCTTGCCCTTCTTGCTTTAGCCCTCGTCTTCTTGCTTTAGCCCTCGTGAATAGCCCAAGGCATGTACTTTTTTTACTTGTCTGAGGTACCAAAAGCCTGGGAACTAACCTAGAAAGGAAATCCTTGGTACCTTGACGGATCCCGGGTCATTTTCGGCTTATAGGTGGTCCCTCGTGTATGGGGACCACGACGTCCTCTTTTGGCCTCTGAAGGACGCGACTCTTAGAAACCCCGGACTTCTTCTGCTAAGGTGGCAGATGGCCTTACCTGTCATCCGAAGACTACGCTTATAGAGGACAAAGATCGTTCAGCGAATTAAGGTGCTAAGCCGCCTAAGTTACCTGGCCCGTTTCCAACCATGGCGGACCAGGAGATTTGTACATCACTCCTGATCTACTACTTTTTGTTACTCTGGGTAACATGTACGTAAGCTTTCATAATGATCAGTTGTGTAGTTAAGGCGTAGAACCGAAACAAACAGACTACCTCATTCGCATCTATAACATTATTACCTACTATTTAGAATTCAATTCCTTCAAAATAAATTTATTGTATTTTTATTCTAACCTGTCTGATTGTTGAGTTCAAAATAAATAAATAAACATATTTATATTTTTATAATGATATTGTGATTGATTATCATATAATTATATCATTCTCATGACAACAATTTAACGATCTTGAAGTACCTTAAATTGTTGAGAGAGTGATTTAAATAGTAACCAATTAAGGTTTCAAATATTCATACATACGTCTCCTACGTACAAAGATTTAAAATATTTTGAATATGAATAAGTAGAGAAGATAAGAAAAAAACGTATTTACCGGTATTGTAAATAATGATGTAGGCATGAATCCTGATTCTAGAATAAGTCATAGCCAAATATCAAAAGTACAGACACAGAGTAATAAGTATTAAAATAATATAAGAGAGAGAGAGAGAGAGAATCATGAAAACTCACTCTGTTCAGAAGAACTGGAATTAACAATTTTACGTGCCACTACCACAGAGCCACACATCGCCAATATCAATATTAGTTTCATTCTGAAACGAAAAACAATATATTCGAGGACGCTGCCAGAAATAATAACAGTCATTATAATAATATGAGCTTATAATGTCAATGATATCATCTGTTTTAAGATTATTAAAACAGATAGCCGTGGATGGTTCACCGATTCTCCTATTTAACTTTACTTCAAAATACATTTGGGTAAAAATCCTTTGCGATTCAAAACGAAATAACACCTGAAAAGAAGGTAAGACCCTGTTGAAATTATGCTTTTAAAAAAATAATTATCAGTTATCATTTCATCTCAGGTTTCACCCAAAGCTTAGCAACGATAAACGAAATGTTTAGCAACGAAAGCAGATCGCCCCTTTTCTTTACCTTTGCCTAAACATCCTTGCTTCTGAATAAGGCGCCAGTCTCTGTCACCTTCTTCTTTAGAATCGGTATGATCCATAGTATGAAAATAACATTAAGTACCGAAAAGACCCAGAGGGAGTCCTCCTATAGAAACCCCACGGCAGCCGGTGAATAGCCAACCACTAAATTGCACTTAATGCATGCTCCAGATTATACGATCAATCTTACATACCATTCGAACATTATCCAACAAAGATATGTTTATTATAACCTCAGTGACTAGAACCGACCTTGATATATTAACTCCAGTTCAATTAATAACAAGATCTAAACATCAAAGGATTCAGATATTTAGATGTTACTCAGTTTCTGTACAGGAGCACAGTGACTCATTGATTCACTACGCCATTTCCACTATATTGTAATAGGTTAGTATACGGAGACACGGACGAAGGATTAACATAGAGAGGATGAGGTAATTGAGTTTTTTAACCCTTATTGCGCTGTTATTCAGTTTAATCCATTCCTTTATAAATAAAAAAATCGATAGGAAAACACATCCTGCTGCTGACAAATAGCAGAGATTATTCATATTTTGGGCTACATAAAAATGTGATCGGGCCGCCACATTTATTGATAGGATGATTCAGGGGAAAAGCCTCTGCTTTCCCTTGAGATAGAGCCTAGTTTGGTGATCGAGTCGATCGGGCTGGACCTGAAATCACATGGCCCAGGTCCTCCCTAGAGTAGGGCGCCTAAGGCCAGCCTTAGGCGCCCTACTCTAGGGAGGACCTGGTCGGGGTGGTTTTTAGTGGAATCACCACATACTCCTGCCTCCTGAATCCCAAAGGAGTCGGAGAACCTAAGGAATTTTCCACCACGTCACCAAAAAAAAAAGGCTGCATAAATGCGATAGGCGGCTTGAATAATCTGGAATCCAACAGTTCAGGTTACCGGTAAGTAAGTGTCTACGGACATTTTACTCACTACACTACTAACGGAGTTGGGTCTTTATGTGAATGGGGTCAAATAAGAATGTGTAATTACGTCTATGCATATCTAATATATGTACGTATGTAGATTATGTTATATAGGTTAAGTTGACAAGTTTTCTAATAAAAAGGCTTAATTTAGACTTGCACTAGAAACGAATTCATGGAATTACCACAGAAAAACTGATTTTGGTTTTATTTTTATCGTTTGACAGGTTACATGATCAAGAATGTTCTTTGTTATAATTGAACAAAAACTTTTCAGTTCTCTGAAAAGAGCATCAACTTTTATTTCATAATCGTTGAATTGATTTTTCAATAGGGAACTTTTAATTTTCTTTCATAAATTAAAAAATTAATACATCCTCTAATTACACAAAGAGTCTACTTAACCAACCTGAGCCGAAAATAGATCAGAATAGTTTCAATTGGTGCATAATCTACCGTGCATGAAGTGGTTGGGGTTATGCGATTAGTGAGATATTAAAAGAAAGCTACTATTCGGGAATGCGAAACTGATATTTGTACTGGAAATATCTAATTCACTGTGCAACAAGATTGGCAAAGGCAAGTTTAATGCGTAGGGACTGTTACACTTGAAAAAAACGACCACCGTATAATGTCGCCGTGTAGAGATATGAAACTTCATCATCAGCTGTTCCAAAATCTCTGTGAAATAAACAGATGACATCGGTGTATTCAAGAAAAGGATATACAATCGATTCGCACTTTGAGGTTATTTTATAAAACCATCATAAAAAGATTCTCAAAAAAACAACAGTGAGTTGAAACGTTGTTGTCACAATCCATTGTGCTGAATAAAGGAGCCCCGAGTAATGGTTATGTTGTGCATTTTGCCATTCGGATATGACACAAACTGTGTCATTGTTCGAAATTAGAAAATTGTATGCCAAGTTTAGTCAGAATAGACACTTCATACATAAAGACTCTCTCTCACACACAGGATAAATAAAAATTATGAGGTTTAGTAAAAGCCTTTTTTGCATATATGTATATGTACATGTCTGTGCTACATTACTAAATTTACTTAGTAAGAAAACGTCATTGTTAAATGAATTTCAAGTACAATGCTCGACTAAAAATTGATTTGTTGTTCGATTCTTATCCTAATAATCAAAAATAGAACTTCATACTCGAAATCGGTAGTGATCCAACACTGCACAACACTTTATATAATTTGTTTACAATGCACTATAATTATTTGAATAATAAGATTTGTATTAATTTTTAATTATAAAATTAAAACTATCGTTTAAGGATTAAAAGCATATGATGTCAGAAGTTATATAAATTTCTACAGAAACTACCGTTTTGATGTTAATAAAGACTTAAAACCTAAGAACTGATAAAGTTATTCAAATAAATGCTAAACTAGCGAGCCGCCCACGGCTTTGTTCGTGTTTTATTTGTCCCCTTCAGGAACAGTACTTTTTTCTTTTTAAATTCCATTGTCATTTTCTTTACTCATGATAACGTATATACAAAGTTCAATTAGAATCCCATAGCTCAGTGGTTTACTAAAGGACCAGAGTATGAGAATGTATCAGAAATCTTCTTAATTAACTTAAAGTTTTATATATTGGAAATGACTAAAAGTGGAGAATTGTGGAGGTGATTAGAAAAGATTTTGATTCAATTATATCATTACTAATAATAATTACTTATATAATTCCTATAAAGGTGTGAAACCCGGAGGTTAATTACATAAAATCTTAACAGACAATCTTGGGCTACAAAAAATCATTAATATAATCTTATCATTCTCTTACAAACGCTAAATGAAACAAACAATATTACAAATTCGCTTTACCATATGTTAAAATAATGCACGAAAATCACATCATTATTACACTTTAATACTATCATACAATACTTTATGGCCGCATATATCACGAAGTAAAGTTTCTTTGAAAATATTTTATTGCAATAGTTTAGAATAGGCTACTTGACTCAATTTGAAAACTTGGTTAATTATATACTTTAATATTTAAAAGAAAAACTATATTTTAAAGAAAAAGCAATATTTACATTACGTATTTTGTATTTAAAAAAACAATTTAAATTTCCCTTGAAAACGCTGAATAGTATCATGGCTTCTTGAATGACGTCACAGTCTGCGAAACAATACTGTTTACTTCTGTGGCCAGTGTCAACTGAAACTGTATTAAGGTGAGAAAATATGCTAAAAACGAAAAATAATAAGGAGTACCTAACCTGCTCTGTTGTATGAAAACGTCAACAACAAAAATGATAATATAATTTGCGTGGCGTGACATAACACTTTCTGATTGGTGTTCGCTGTCACGTGACTTAACGCCTATTTTGGCCGAATTTATTTTAAAAATATTAATAATCTTTAACTTTTATGAGAAATAGACTGATTTTTCTTATCTATGTCTGTTCATTTATAATTTGAAACTACGAGTATAAACCAACCAATTTGTTATTAGTGGACACAAGTCTATACTCGTGATATGATGATATACATAAGTATGAAAACCTAGGAACTGATTTTATCGATATTTTATTTTCCAGCACCCTCAAGGCACCAAAATCATCGTTCGATTTATTCAAAATGCAAAAACAATCAGCTGATGGTTTTTTAGGTTGCTCCTGGTCAAAAACTTAATATCATTACTGATATAAACTTCTGCAGTGTTATATGCACACTACTACTACCACATATATATTAAACCTCCTTTCTAAGGAGAGGCCTATGTCCAGCAGTGGACTATGAAAAGCTGTTAATGATGTGTGTTTTCTGATTTCCTTAAAACTATCTAGTAAGTAGGTATATTAAAATAAGCAGTCATTGAGAATTATTATGAAATATTTTTATAAATAACGTTTCTACGTGAAAAGTTTTTCACACGTTTTTCGGAAAGAATACGGTAGCTGACACCGACGCCAGGTGTTACATTACCCCTGCAGGAGGACAGCAACCACAGGAGGACTCCTGTGAAATAGCAAACTGACAATTCAAACATATCTACGAAAAAATTAAATTTATGTTTCACATTGTGTAAAAAAATCTTGAACGGCCAAAGTGACGGCGGCTGTACTTACAGCGGCTGATGACAATTAGCAATCCCTGTAAAAATCACTAGGAAGAACAGTGGTTACACGCACATTAGATAGTACGTGCAAAACCCTAGGTCTGTACCATATTACCGAGCTTGTTTAAATCTTGTCATAAAAGCCATTCATTTAGGTATATCGTGGTTGGATTTCAATTATTCTACTTATAACTTGCTTTCCGAAGTCTTGAATTTACCTTGAATTTGAAATTTTTTATTTGTCGCATTACAAAGAAATAGAAGATTACGTTATTTAAGAAATTCGAAGCGCTCGATGTACATCAAACCGTCACATTTAATTGAAAGAAAGAGAATATCTACGCCGAAAGTAAATGTTATCTCGACGAAGTTATGTGATAATGAAAACTTTATCATACAAAGGTATCTTTTAGTGATATTTTAATTGATAAATTATATATTTGACGTTTTATCGAATTTAAAAAAAAGGAGTAGACACGGTGGTCGTTTCCTCTCTTCTGTTTTTATTTATGCGACTTGAATTGCCAGATTGTATTTGATTAAGTTACACCCCAATTTTTTATGAACTAGTATTTACCATTATGTCTCTCACCCTTGTCCTTTCCCCTCTATGTCCCCTCTATGTTTTTCACGCACGTTGTGGGGGGTACAAAAAATACCCCCCCACAACGTGCGTTAAAAACTTCCTTGATGATCGGTTGAATAAGTTAACGCATGAAAATGCAGTATAATTTTGCATTTTTAATATTACTGGACGTGCTTGGTGCTGTCAGCAAATCAACAACATTCGGATGCATCGCTAACTATCAACAAAATTTAGTAATACAAGATGTTACTAAAACCGCTTTAAATCTAAAAGCAAAAACCTCTAAAATCGTCGTGAAGCGTCGACTCTGTAACGGACTATGACAAAGACTGACCAGTGTTATAGTTATCATGGATGATGGGTTCTTATAGCCGTCTTTCTTGAATTGAAAAAAAATTGCAACGATTGCAAATTACTATTTTTGTCCAAGCTTTCACTGATGTCACACATTATTTAAGTGTGGAGGAACAAATGTCATGTCCCTCCAACACAAAGGAAGGATCCTCCAACCAGGCGAGGTGATCATGCCTGTCGGGCCGCGGCCCTGCAGTTGATGTTGGGAAGTTGTATATATGTATATATAGAATTGTTAATATCGCGATACTGGATTAGCAGTTACTTCGTAGTTCGGTGTGTCTTCGTTAGATGGCGCTGTAGTATGTTTCTTTGTTTCACCGTATGTGGAAATCGCCACATAAGTAATTATAAAAATATCCAAGAAGTGGTTTTATCTACGAGTACATATGAATGACTTAAAACATACCTGCCATGATACCCACCGTATTTTGTATCTGGTTATATCCGTATACCATATGTATGTCTTGAAATATAGACTTTGTTTATGACATATGTAAATCCTCAAGTGTTATCAACGAACGGGATAATTTCAAGGTGGAACGTTGAAATGGAACCGATTTAGTCGGTTTTAATCGCATGGTATTCCATTACTGAGTCCTGCTTGATGAAGCTTGGGTAAATTTATTTAAAAAAAACTCCTAAATCTCGAGAGATTTAGCCGCATGTTGAGCAGAAGTGACCGTAATGAACGCTGTTGAGTAAATTTCTTACTTACACACTAAGTACTCGTTCGCTACACTTTAATAGATCACCAACCCAATACGGTATTAAATTAAGTAACGATCAGATATCGTTTCTGACGTGTGATATAGGTATCTGATTGCTAAATTTTGGTAAATAAACTAGCTACGTAGCAATTTGGTAACTTGTAATAAATATTTTTTCAAATGTCCCTACACGTTCTATTAAAATCGTCATCATCACCATCACCAACAGCCTTTAATAGTCCACTGCTGCACATAGCCCTCTCCTTATTAAAAAGGTTTTTGCCTATCATAACATTTCATATATTTAAGAATTTCAATGTTAATGCCCGCGATTTCCTACGAATGTAATTTGAAGGTATGTTGTTGAACTCTGATTTTGGTACTTTGTAGGTAAAACATAACGATGTAGTTTGTAACAAACGCATAAGGATACTTAGGGTATTATAAGAAATCTTTTGAAACATGAAAATCTGATTCTCGGTGGGAAAACTGGATATGAAAAAGAAAGCTGAATCCAAGGAAGAAAAGTACGGCCACAATTGATTCATTTTAGCACAGGTAAAGAGTTGGCGTATTAATAATTCAGGATCTTAAAAATGGAACTGCCTAGTTATATTCTAAGGAAATCTAAAAATGAAGAATTTATTTGTGTTATACTAGGTACTGCTTAAGGTATCTTCCCACTCGTTTTAAAGTATATTTTACCTTTGGTAGCCATATTTTCCGTTTTCCTAAGAACGTGTATGCAATATATATTTGCATGCAACATGCAATGCAACGTGTATTACACAAAAACCGTCAATATCGTATAAGTTAAACTATTGCTAATATACACCATGATGTCTTGAGAAAATAATTATCACCCCCCCCCCCCCTTCTATGACCATTCCTCCTAACTCTTGAGTGGTAAACATTTCACACGTTATGTAGGCTATGGTAACCGAGAGAACCTATGAAAGCGATGACTTGGATTTACTGGAGTATCGTCGTCGAGAATCTAAGTCATCGCGTTAGAGGTTCTCGAGGTATATAGCGTATTAGACAACTACGATATGGATATTGTAATTGTTTAACATACTATATACCAGCAAAATATCATGTGTTGATTGTTATGAGTATTAAGGCAGTTAAAATATTGTTCGACATCGTCTTCCTACTCAATATATTATATATTTCAATATATTATTATATATTTATTGCATTTATTGCATTTATTGCATTACAATATATTATTATATATTTATTGCATTCTACAATGTTTACTTAGATGGCACTCAAATATAAGATCAGATCATCATGGACCCTGTCGGGCACAGCAATACATGAGAGAGGGAGAGATAATATAAACTAACAATAATAATCAAACTTCAGTTTTTTATGTACATGCTTAATATATTGATTGCTCAGATATATATTCATTGACGCTGTAATAGCATTTTTGTAGTAATAATTGTTTTAATTTATTTAAATATATATTTAATATGGTTTCATTTCTAATTTCTTCGGGTAATTTACTCCTTGTCCCATTTTTATTTACCGTCATGGCACTGTGTAACGGTTCAAAGAATTTTTGCAGGTCTTCTTTTTGTTGCCGTCCAAACCTCCTTAGATGCTTTCGGACGAAACGTAAGTAACGTAAAGTAAACGAAGGTAGATTGAGGTAAGAAGAATGGGTAGCGTGACAGAGCTAAGGTCCCTTGCCTTTGTAATACAAGTTTCGGATGAGAAACGAGACTGAAACTTCAGGAGTTCAAGGAGGATACGGACGCGTATCTTGTGCCAGAAGTGCTCGGCCACTGGATCAGATTCATGTGTAAGAAATAAATAGTTATATGTTATAGTTAAATTACAAAAAAATACCGTCTTATTATTAAAAAAATCTTGGTATAGTATAACATTAACGTAAGTTCTAACTGTTAGATTTATCAGATAATTTGAGACTAACCTAACCATGGATATTGACGATCATACACTAAATCTCTGATGATAAGGTTATGTTTAGGTATTGATTTTTACTTATTTTGTTTAATTAAATGTCCTAACATCGGCACTTACTTGATTCAATGTTTTATGTTTATATAACAAGAAACAAATATTACTTAATGTACCTAAATATTATAGTAGGAAAAAACCTTTTTAATAATGAGAGGGCTATGTCCAGCAGTGGACTATTAAAGGCTGTTGGTGACGATGATGATGAGGATTTTAATAGAACGTGTAGTGACATTTGAAAAAATATTTATTACAAGTTACCAAATTGCTACGTAGCAAAGTACATATTACTTTGCTACGTAGCAATATAACGTTTATATATAACATATATAACGTTTATATAACAAGAAACAAATATTACTTAATGTACCTAATAGGTTTGTAATCACTTCGCGTAACGTAAAACATATCAAAGAATACACAGATAATATTTACTTTGATAACGTAATAAGTTTTTAATTATTTGCAGCCGCGCGATTATCTTGTCTGATTTTATAATTTAACTACTAACAAAGGTACCTATGTCTGCAATTATCCTCTAAAGAACTGTCATGAAAAATAAATTAGCAGTATAATGATATATATATCTAAATCGATTAATAACGGTGACAATTTGATATTTATCAGATTTCTTTATTACCGATATAAACGATTAATAAAAGAAATCAAAACTGATTAGCAAAAAATATCTATAAAGCATTAAGGCTCATAAGGAAGCAAACAGTTAGGGTTTGTGTATCACAGAAGTATTTCAAACAGTCAAGTAAGTTTAATCACAATATTATATTCAGATTTGAGAAATGAGTGGCATATGCATTCACTGGACGCGTGCGTGCTTTTACCAGTGATTGCCCTTTTTGATTGCCCGTTTTATTATGAATAATAAAAAGTAGATAGATTTGCATGATCGGGGGCCAAATTAGGTGTATGGTTAACCAAAACCTAATTAAATATATAATTAAGCTACTTGATCCAACAATTATTCGGATGCATCGCTACCGATAGGTGATAAGAAAGCCCTAGGTATATTGACTGTTTTAATAAAATGCTAGAAAAACCTATATCTCTTCAAGCAGGGTTTTAAATTATATTTTACAATCTCGTCTATTATATACAATTTTTTTAAGTATTCACATTTTATAAGTGAGTAAAAGATAGTTTAGCTTGCTATAGATGGGGAAAGGCAGTTGACTAACAAAAATTTGCACCTTAAAGTTCGCGAATGGATCACTGATTAAAGTGTACTTACAGTTAGTCAATTTGTAAAAGGCCTATTCAATGCCCTATGGGATAGACTAGAAAAAAAATCCCTACTTTACGTGCAGATACATCTCTCAATTAAAAGAACTTATTTTGTTATTGGAAAAAAAATAATTCAGTCGTTTTTCCTTTTCCTACAGTATGAAAATAATATTTCAGTAAGTTATGTCGACTACTTATAAATTTTATATAAAGTAGAATTTTGATAAGGAAACCTTCCTGCATAAAAAATCGGAACTATTTACCCGGATATCGCAAAGTGGCATCTAAGTACCTATTGCAATGATCAGGGGTCGATCGCAAAGCAATTGTTGTTAGAATAAAATTTAATTTCCTTTTGTTTCCTCTTTACAAAAAAATATTCATTTAAGTAAAATAATATTATAATATTTAATAACTCACACAAAGTACCCAATATCAACATTAACAGTTCAGAATGGAAAGCTTCGACTAAGAATTAATTTAAAGTTCTTTTTTTTTATGCAAAACTTACGCAGTGTACGGCTATTATCGCAAACTCGTAGCAGCATCGTACTCTGTGCTAATTAATAACTTTAGTTAGGTTTAAATTACTTTATATGACTTTGTGCAAAAATATTTTAAGCATTTTAAAATATTATAGGTATTGCCCAATGGTATATGATCAAAATGCGCCAATGTTCACACTAAGAAACGGACACACGTACTCGTGGCATGGTTACTAAAAAACTATGTTATATACAATTCATATATCAATATAATAACCGTCATTATACACCGTTAGGCCTCAAATAATGTATTTTTCTTTTTAGCATGAAATTAACATTACTAGCAGCGCTTTTTGGGTTCGCGTTAGCGGCACCTAATGTTCTGATTCCTGTATCTCCTGAATTGAGTGAGTACTCACAGTCACAGAATTTTATAGTTGACTAAGTAATAGAGGTTTTCAAGCATCAAATTTTAACTTTGGCCCTGTACTACCAAAAAAAATATGTCATAGTTCCTGCTCTGTCTTGTTTAAGCAATTTAGAACGTAAACGTCTATAGCATTTTTCATGCTCAGAATCGTTTAAAAGGACATGATCGACACTTGAATCAACGTAACAACTTACACATGGTTAGATTAATTACATGATGCATGTATTTTTAATATTTTAATTAATTTCTAGGAGCTGCATTCAAAAATAATGCTCAAGTAGATGAACGGAATCCGTTACCACCGCTAATGGTGTTATTATTCAATTTGCTACGTGGCCTCATCTTAAATGGATCGCCGTCAATGGGAATTCCAGTCTTGGACCCGCTCCAAATTGACAATATTCGTATTGCCGTACCTGCTGAAATCGTCAAGTGAGTAAAGATTTATAAGGAACTACCTTTGCACAAGACTTCGCTTGCGTCTTACTTTTACTAAGTACTTACCCTCAGAAGCAGTTTTTTTCTATAGGTATCATGTGTCCTTTTCGGTACTCTTGGCAATATATCATTCCTTAACAGTTCTTTATAACTGAATTATATCATTTAACAAGTTTTCAATATCTGGGTCGGTGTTTTTAGAATGCACCTTTCGAGATAGTTGTCTAATAGATATTATAAAATTGTGAAAAATCTTACAATAGTAATAAAACGCTGCAGGTTTTACTTATACATTATATTTCTTAAACGCGTTTTTACAAACAATTTGTAGGCTTATACTTTGGGTGTTGATTTCAGATTTTTTATTTTAACAAATTTTAAATGATCAGGGTTGTGATCATGATCTTTTTCTTTTTAAATAAGTTCGTGAACAGTTCACTTTTTTAACCATTACAGGTGAAGTCTTGCTTTTATCGTTAAATTACACTCTTAACAATTGCATAATAGTAATGTACTGTCGCCGTGCAATTGAAGTCACTTTGGGTAACTACCTACATTCAATCGAGAAAACGTTTATTGCGTTTCAATTAAACACAAAAAAATATATTGGCAATTTTCTACATGATTTTCTTTTTAGTTTTGTGGTACCTCTTAAAATATTTTCTATCAGGCTAATAATATTTTAATATAAAATACAATTTCGTAATAGAACAATAGTCAAAAACTAATAATCCATACTAATATTATTAATGCGACAATGTGTCTGTCTGTCTGTCCGCTTAATTTGGTATAGAGGTGATTCGAGTCCTGGGAAAGAACATAGGATAGCTTTTACCGCAGAAATATTTATTTAAGTGTAAGGGAGTGGAACTTTGTATGGAGAAGCAATAACCGCTGAACCGATTTATATGAAATTTATGTATAGATAAATTTTAATGTTGAGGAAGGACATACATACTTTATACAGCAATAACCAACATACACACCACAACTGCGCTCATAACCAACATACACACCACTACTGCGCTCGACAAAATATCTGCCCGTGCCAAGAGCAGTCACATCAGGTCACCCCTCACCACGTTTGACGTGGACTTCTGCAACATTAATGCTCTACACTTTATCCATAACGCTGTCCACCACCACCGAGCCAGCGAAACCGACCTTGCTCTTTTTAGCAGCAGATTCCATCCGCATAAATCGTGATACTTGGTGACTTTAACGCTCACAACGCCGAAGGGTTTGGTTTACGCAAAACTGCTAATACGGATTGCGGTGCCACTCATGTGCTCGCGCATGCTTCGAGTTGCAGGCTGCCGCCACGTATGTTGCTATAGGTCAGCCGACTGGGGTGGGATGCGCTCTTTCTTTGTGTTCTACTCTTGGAGGCGGGTTTGTTTCTTGCTGGATGATCCAAACGTCATTGCCGATTCTATTTCTGACTTAGTACTTCAGGGGTATCATGGAACTATTCATTCCATCTACTAAATCGATGGCAGATCCAAGCCTTGGTTTGACAGATCCGGCAAAACGGCGTCCTGCCGAAAGCAACGGTGATTGGTGAGTGACTGGTAAGGCTTACTTCTGGAACTCGTGCATTCTGGTCTCTTACCAACCTACCCCTGGACAGCAGGGGAATTTCTGTAGCCGGTCCCTTCCACCCATGCAGAGGGGCGATAATTTTTTGGGCCTATAATTCCATAGTGAAAGCCGATCTCCAAGGCGAACTATTTGCATCAAACTCCACTTTGGATGACGGGGGAAACATACCTCCGGCCATACCACGGTGTTAGAGCTGTACGCTGGAAATCCGGTTCACCCGTGTTGAAGACGTGTGCTCCGGAGTTGGCACCAGTTTTAAAGCGCATTTTTCAACTCCTACTTCCTAGGCGTCGTCTCAAACTCCTGCAAGGTAGCGTTTGTGCACCCGATCCCTAAAAAAGCTTATCGTGCTGATCCGTCTAACTACAGGCCAGCCATAACCCCCTTGTTCTTTAAGATTATGGTATTATTATCATTTCGTCCAGTCAAGTATACTGGTTGAACGGCATAAAAGTGCGAGTGCACAGATCGGTCCAAAACACTGTATTTTTATCGCCGTACCTAAGCAACCCGTGGAACTTGGTTAGGCAAAATACTGTAAGCTTTGTTACTGTTTTTTAACATGTTAAAACCCTGATTTCAATACAATACAGTATTATTCAATACAGTACATTATTGTTTCTTCTAAAATACACTTTAGAATAACAAAAGTGTGGATCAGATATACTAGGTATACTAAACCGACGTAAAGAAACTGATGGAGCATTGTTAAGACAAAACACTGTAAGTCGAGTTGCAGTCTTTTGGATTGGCATGGCAGTTGACCGAAATCCTGTTAAACATTTCCGTCTCTTTTCACCGAGTCACTTCCATAGATTGCAGGAAAGTGAGGAGGGATGTTACACATAAAAAAACAAAACTGTAGAATTTAAATCGTTAACTTAGCTTATTATTAATTAAATCGTTAGCTATTAGCAAAACATTTTTACTATTGCAATTGTTTCATAACGTTGTCTAATTATGGTGTGGTAGTGCTTATTCGCTTTAATATGTCTCTAACAAGATGAATGTCAATTAAAATTGATTTTTTTTCTAATCTTTTCAGCCTGGATTTGGAGCTGTGGAATATACGAGCAACTGGCTTAGGTGGTTTCGAAGTTCACAGTGCCCGACTAAATTTGTTGCAACTCTCCTTCGAAATCGATGTAACTCTACCTAATCTCGATATATCTGCTGGTAAGATTTGACTTCCTTTTATCTAATTTAAATGAATAGATAGGAATACGTCAAACGATAATTACCCTTTTTAACAATCGAAAGATTGAACACAAAAACCGTCGAAACCATTCGCAAACCTGAGATGATATGAATTAATTTGTTCTTGAAGTGAAAAAATATGCCTTATTCGTTAAATTATTTTATAATAATTGATCTAGATACGGTTGTTTTTATTTGTTAACGACATTTTAAAAAAAGTGTAATTTACCTTAAAGTACCTAATATTGTATTTTACATTTCAAAAAAGTACCTATTGCAAAAATTCAGGCAGTGGTTGGAATATAACTTTATTAAATCATTACCTTGATTTAAAAATTAAACTTTCTGTACTTGTTTTAAATAGATACAAACTTTAAGTATTTATTCCAAAAGATACATAATGTGCTCAAAATGTGTACGAAGTCTCTTCCATATGTTATCACATCACATCACATCAACAGCCTTTAATAGTCCACTGCTGGACATAGGCCTCTCTTTAGAAAGAAGGTTTATGTTATACCTAAGAATAAGTTTTAACTAAACACAGCCTGTATACTCGTAATACGAAATACATGCATATTTAGATGAATGAGTGTAGGTTATTAGCGATATTTTTGAGTATGAAGTATGAGTTTGTCTTGACTGAAATTAAAAACCCTTTAAAAAGCTTTGACTTTTTTTGTATAGACTAGTAATATTCGTCAAATCTTCATTACCTTTTTCAGAGCGCTACAGCCTCACCGGTGACTTGTTGACAGCTGTTCCTCTGTTTGGAGACGGAAAGGCATTGTAAGTACTTACAAGTACAACTATCATAACACATTTTTCAATTGCCAACATTTGTCAATCGATTGGTTATTTTTTATGTACAGATTCAATGTCCAGGGTCTCCGCTTCAAAGGCAGACTGTTCTTGGGACAGTCCCCCAATGGACGATCTGTTATCGTTGACCGTCTCGAAAATATTGGATTCCAAATTGGTAATTTCAAGGTTAGTAAGTACCATGACTTAAAGCTTAAAAGAACAAGTAGAGGAATAGGTATCTCATGTTTCACCAAAACAATATCGATAAACTTAAATGATGTGTTGGTAATTTTATAAAGTTGGAAGATAATCTGTCTGTATCTTAGGAAAGAGTTAACTAATGTAAAAAATAGATAAAAAAGTTAAATATAAATAATTTCACCAGTAGTTGTGAAATAAGGTCTTAAGAGCCACCTACTTGTAAAGTAGGTATTACATCCGAAAAATAAAAATGGTGTCATTGATGAGCGAATTGTAAGGATATTACGATCCAGTTATATTTCTCACGGTACAGCGGTGCATCAAATGTAGTTCGAATAGCCGACTTATCTGTTATATTCCTTCGATGTAATATTCTTTGCCTTCACAAATGTTTTCTAAGGTAGATAGAAACAAAGACGGAGGTTCACTGCCTCGGAAACTAAAACAATACTACACCTAATTATTACTTAATGGGCCTATATGTGTAAAGTAATTAATATATTTTTTTCTAGTCCGGGTTGACTGGCGTCATCGGTGGTGGAGACATCGATAAAGTTGTGAACGCTCTAATCGGCGAAGTGGTGATTGACTACGTCAATAGGTTCCAAGGTTTTATTTCAACAGTCATAGCGCGATCCGCGCCCCCAGCCATTAACCCCGTTCTCGAAAGATTCGATTCTTGGGATATTATTGGTGAATTATTCCAGTAGACTTGAAAATTGATTTCTGATAAATAAAATTTTATTACTCAACTAAATGTTTCATTAATCAAAATGTTGTTCTGCTGCTTGAAAAGAATGATGTGATGTGATTTATGGCCATCCTAACTTTGAGAGGAAGTGAATTCCACAAGAGGATAGACTGAACGAAGAAAGAAGAATCGACGAACTATTGAGTAGTATGAGAAATAGAAAAAAAGGATATTATTATGTTTCGAACGAAGGTTCTGACGGTTAGAAAACTGTATATTCAAATATACAATATAGACAAGACATTATCTGCAGCTGAGTCCGCTCTAGGAAAGGTGATGGCTTAGCTCTTAAAAAATCTTCTGACTCTAAATGTAAATAAGACAAAGTAGGTACGTTACTTTTACACTAACCTACAGCACACTACTCCCGAAATATTTAAGCTGAGAGTTCTCCATTGTCAACAAACCCTGGCAAGTTTCTGTAATTGACCCACCGTAAATAGAACCAATAGTATTGGCTATTAGATACCTCGGCGTTCTCATTGACAACATATTGAAACTGGCATGACGTGCACATAAGTACCCTGACCTCCCGTGTCCACAAGCTTATATGTGTATTTAAAACACTGCGACACTCAGCAACACAGAACATTCTTAAAATGAACGAGAATAAATCCGAGAATAAAATGATGGCATACTATATATCTGTTGGGACAGTAAAATAAGAAGATAAAGGACATCATACTCGCAGAAGTACCCTCCCCAAGAGACACTTTCGTGTTATTACAGGTCATCTTTACAACAACTTTACAAGCATTGCCAGATTCATCACGTTACAAAAAGATAATGCAAAACCAAACTTATGAATTTTACAGGATTACCTCACAACCGAGACATTAATGAGGGTCACTATGCTATATGTTAAAGCCTATTCCTCCCCCCCCCCCCGCTCCCCTTGATAAAAGGCAGGGCTTTCTAACACTAAAATAATTTTTCAATTCGAGCCCGTAGTTCCTGAGATTACCCTGAACATACAACCTACTTTATCTCTTTATAATATTGATCCCTCCACTTCCTAACCTTTCACCGGCTTTGTCCTCATTCACAGTGACCGTATGGATAAAAGAGGTGGCGGCGTCGCTATCTACCTTCGTAGTGTTTTACCGTATAAAATACTAGCCTCCTCCTCTTCCAATACTTCCACTAGCGCAGAATATCTCAACCTCAAGGTTTGTGTCAGGGTAGTTAAAGTTATTCTTGGGGTAGTCTATTGTCTTCCCGCTGTGAACTACTTCTCCAGTGTTGAAAAAGTTCTGGAATCTTTAGGGTCAGAAAACTCACATCACATCATCATGGGAGATTTTAATACCTCCTAGCCCTAAACCCTTCCCGGCCTAGCAATCTCCTTCAGATCATCCATTCAACCAGCCTCCACGTGCTGTCCCTCCAAGGCCCTCATCACAACATCCAACACCAGGACAACTGGCTTGACCTAATGCTCACTTCTGCCCTAAACCTTGCCCCCGGTTTTTCCTGTCACTATCTTATATCCTGAAACCTCCGAAAATTCTACAAATGCCCGCCATGGATCTGGAAAAATTATATACAGATGCTGTGGAGATAAATTGGAGGAGTGTGACAGCAGCTACCGACGTGGACAACAAAGTCAAAGTGCGTCTAGTAAAAAAGTGCCACTTCAATAGCCTTTATCAGCATTGCACGCGTGCGCTCAACATGCTAGCCCCTAGCATGTTGAGCGCATGGCCTTGTCTTGAAGGGACTTGAAAGTACCGATAAGTTGTTTTTCGTTATCGGTGAGCATGAGCATTAGCATGGGTCTAGTAAACCTTAACATGAGTGTGCTGTTAAGGTAAAAGTGTCAATCGACCTGGTAATAGTACATATAAATAATCAAAGGCCATAGTAAGAATGGTATATAGAAATACATAAATGGTATGTAGATTAGGTATTTTCTGCTTAATAGCTAGATGCATTCCTAGTTACAGGAATCATCAGTCTCGATTGTTAACCGATACAATTAAATTTAATGTTGATATGTGCTGTAATTTTGATATCCATTCTAATATTATTCGAGGCCAGTTTTTTACTAATATTATAAAGCTAAGGGGTTTGTTGGAAAATAAAGTAAAAAATATAAAACTAAATAAAGTACTTGTGTTTCATTTTTATATCATTCACTTCGAATCAATTTTCTGAAAAATATAATAGCAATTCAACTCTAATAAAAACGGATTGTTTGAATTTCCCTTTCAACTTAATATTTATACATCTTCATTATTTAGAGGTGCGATTTTATGTAAATTGAACATCTGCACAGCGCCATCTAACAAAATTTATGGAAGCATATTTGCAATACTAGTGCCATCTTTTGGGAGTAAAAAAAAACGTAACTCAGTGCAGTGTTGCTTATCTGAAGCAGAAATAGTGTATGGAAGAAATAAATGTGTAGAAACAGTCTATGGTCTGAACACTCATACTAAACTAAATAATATTTATTGACTACTTAACATTAGACAAACCGAAAGTAATTATTTTTATGATTTCTTTCGAAGTACCACATAATAATATTTTTTAGATAGGGTATCCTTTTTGTATTCCTTGTAGGTATGCTAATATTGCTCGAGAAAAAGAAAGACTACTTGTTACTTTTAGGTTTGAGAGGGTAAAAGGCTCTCTGGCGATTTATTCACTGAATATTTTTTAAGTTATTACCAAAAACATCAATAAGTATGATAAAAATCAGTTTAATTTATAATTACGTAATACTAGTACTAGCAATCAATAAAGCAACATACAAATAGTATATCAACAAGTAGAGATCAGGTACACATATTTTTTTAAGGTATAAGGGGGCAAATGAGCAGACGGGGCATCTGATAGTAAATAACTACCGCCGCACATGGACACCTGCAACTCAAGAGTCACAAGTCCTTTGATTCCCTCCAACTAGAGTAAGAGGGAGGGGGGCGGATCACCGGAGTGACTTCACTCACGAAACTCATGAAAAGCAACGAAAGCACAGAAAACCGGCCTTTCGTTGCTTTTCACCAAGTCGTGGCATCGCTCCGGTCGATCGAGCCTGTTCGTCGTTAAGTCCTCGAAGTTATAAACCCACATTATTAAAAAAACATTTCCTAGGTCTTTTACAATCTAACTATTGCTACTAAACAACTAGGCAAATCCACCGGCTACTATTTCGCCACTAACAGGTTTGTCGAAACCATCAGTTTTAGTGGAATATCCACTAGGCTGACAACACTAAAGTCTTCTCCTTACCTTCAAAGACCACACTCCATACCAGGGATTCGTAGTCTGCTGTACTCGTCAATGGGTTTACACACTTTGGCTACAACTAAAGATCATTTAACTTCAAGCAATAAGAATTTAGTACAATGAGCATATGTATATTTAGCAGACATGTCAAAATTAAAGAATTAAGAACTTAATAACAAAATTGTATGTCTTGTCTTAATACAAAAATGCACATACAGATTTTTTTATGTTTGAATATGTGAATTTTTTATGTTTTTTTATTTAAATAATATCAATATTTTATTTTATTGAAATTTCGATAAAAATTTTAAGCTAAAAAGTGTCTGCAAATACTCATTTAATATGTCATATTTCTGGATCTACAAAAAAGATCAAAAATGTATATGTCTGTCTCCTAAGATTACCCCACAGTTACCATTTTTATCTCTATATATTACAAAAAAAATTGGGTTATTTACGAAGTTTTGTTAAATAATACATCATTGTTCCTTGAGCAATTAAATAAGTTAGACAATTTGTGCATTTAATGCAAATTAATATTGCTCCTCACAGCATATCATTAAAATGAATGTTTTAGAAGATATTAGAGGTTTAAAATATGGGGGCAAAGCAGCGTGCGTCGCCGTCGAGCCGTAGGTCCGTTACTTCACACTGACACCACATTAATATTAGTATCTACATTGCACCCGTGCTTGGTATTATAATAAGACTATTCACATTTACCACTATTATGACAGTCACACAGTAAATCCTAATGCGATAGTGTTAATTATTTTAAATATACATGTTTTACATCAGTACTACTTCTAAGTTAGTGTATAACATGTTAATATACATATAATGTTGTCTACACGTTTATCTGTATCCGATACATATGTGTATGATACATGATAAAAGTTTCCTTGGCATGTTCATAGTTAATAGTTTTTTACTGGTGTAAGATTGTTTGTTTATATTTTATTCGGCCCCTCGTAGTTGACATCGATTCTTTTGCATGATAATCATTATTAATAGTGACTTTAGTGAAATATTTATTAGATTTAAAAATGAGATTAGTTTTCATACAGAAAAAAATATTAAGGCTTTTCGATTTTAGATAAGAAAATCTAACACTTGTCAGCATGATTACCGAGAATTGAGGATTCAAAATGATTTTGTTATCTGTATTTTTTTTTTTGAGAATAGTGGCATCTATTGCTGAATAGAAATATTAGAAACGGAAGTCCTCCAATGGTAAAACAGCTAACATATAATATTACAGATAGAAATATTGCCACTAATTATTTTCCCTAAAACTATGGGTTCTGATAAAAACAATTTTACACATAATTAAAATTTGTTGTCCTAAATCATAATCTAATAATCAATTTAATGTTGATATTTAAAGGAATATTATTATTTTTAGCTCAAATCTATTAGGGAAACTTTAATGTGTTAATACAAGGCGAATTTTAGAAGCTATATAGGGCAGCATTCAACGAATGAGTTGAATTGAATGAATGAAGATAAAGCGAGATACTAAATAACCAGTGAAGAACAAAAACTACGAATGAAAAGTGATTTCGGAGAGAAAAATTGAAGCCTTTTCATGTGATTTTGTGAATTTGTGTTTGTGCAAAATTCATTGTAGACTGTGTTTGTATAATATTTTTGGAGCAAAGTTCCCAAAAAAACGTACCGCTTGGTAGTAATATGAGTAATGTTACCAACCAAAATGGAACAGGTCTAGAGCAGCAGGTCTGTACCTCATGTACTACATGCACTTGTATTGATTTTGATGAAATTGAATGGAATTTTACCTCTAACTTATACTCTATAAATACATATAATATTGAATTTGAAATATTCTAATTCATGAAAAATGCTATTTTTCATTGAAGCATCGATCTATAAAATTGCAATGCTTTACGTGTCTCAGAATAATCAACATGGCGCCTTTGGTCTACCACTTTTATGGTATCTATTTCATTGATTTTGTGAAGACATCATATCGTATGCCTCATCGAAACACTAAGATAATACAGTAGTTTTCCGAAGGAACTTACCAGTGAGGTCATTGTCATGCTATATTTGCGTGTCATGGCGGGAGGAAATAAAAATGTTTCGCAATTATAATTTATCTATATCGGAATAAGTAAGAGGCTAATATTGAAAATAATGAAATTTCTATTTGACCTCAATGCACAGTGGAAGAAGTTATTCATTCTGATTTTAATCAAGTCGTATTTTGTCATGCTTCCATAGTGTTAGCATGCCTAATTTGCTATAGTTAGATGACGTTAAGTAACAACACAAGTTTGTTATCTAGCCAATTGTATATTACTTTTATATAAGTAACTTATGAAGAAAGGTTTTTCGGTGCAGCATAACTAGAGTAACAATCAACCCTTTTTTTTTACTTGTAATTGCTTATTCAGACCGTCTTTTATAACTTTATTCACCTCAATTATCTAAAATCTATTCTTAGACGGAAGTTATTTCTTTATTATCATATTATTTCTTTATATTGATTTCTTTGTTCAGTCAAATAACTTGATCAGTGAAAAAATGTTCCATGACTAGTTATGCTTAACTATTTGACTGTATGAAGGGCAATGATTAAAGTGCACATTGTGTTAGATACTCACAGGAAAAAATTCTTTGTGCAGTTTCACAAACAGTTATGTTAAGTCTAATGTTCTTTCTCCTAGATTGTATGTTTGTAAAGTACCAAATTACTTAGGCATCATTTTTAGTGTAGTAGTCAACTTTTATCCTTATATTGGCAGCTTGCTGGTCTGGACTTGCAGCCTCAGGCTAATAAGAGTGCTGGCCGCTACATCCCCCCGCACCTGCGTAGGCAGTTGCAGGCCAACTCTTCACCAGGTAATAACATTTAAATGTCACTTTCTTTTTTCCACAACACTACTTGTTAATATTGCATTTTCATATTAGATCTTTTAAATGTTAAAGATCTCAAAAATATAAACATTAATTTCATAAACTATTTATAACTATCATTATCTAATGACAAAGTTTCGGAAACTATAATAACTGTAGTTCATGTCATCGTCATCATCATCACAGCCTTTACTGTAATTTATGTAATTTGAAATATATTGTTTCTGGACTGGTTTTTAATTACTGACAGATGGGAATACTTTCCAATGACAAAGGAATAGCAAATGAAAGGGATAATGAAATAATTGTAAACTACTTAGTACTCCACTACTCCTTAAATAAAATTTTACCAATGTATTTCTAATCAATTTACAGCAAATACTCAGCAAATCTGGTTAAAATGTTCACCAAAGAAAAACACAGTGAATACTGTTTACATCCTTCTGAAAGAAAACATAAATAACGCCAAAAGTGTTGAGTAGAGTATTTTGCTTGATGGCACCTGGATATCAATATATCATTTACGTCATCGTCATCTAGCACAGAATATTCTGTGTGTATTAGATATTGACAATGTTCTCCAATAGACAATGTAAGAAGTGCTCCATTCCAGGCTAATCAAGATTTTTGAGCAATAGGCTGTGGAGTTTATTATTTTCATCCTGAGATAAAACATTCAATGTTTTTATATGACTTACAAGTATTCAATTAGAGTTCACATTGGTTTAATAAATACTTTATTATGTAGGTCAGGGTCTTTATCTTTTGTGCACAAAGAACGCCTTACAGATAGAAAGTTTATGATGAAAGTGAAGTCATGGGATGAGAATTTTTTTATTGGGATATGTATTGTTTTGAGAAATGTCTGAATTTATGGCAAAGTTAATTTAATTTTAAAGTTAAAACTGTTAAGTTATGTTCTACATACTAATTACTATTTTTATTACCCTCAAACTTCAAGTAGAACACATGTGAATTAATCTTGGAGTATATTATTCTTCACTTAGTATAGTAATTGTACTTTTTTCTACTGAATTGATTAGAGATTGGTGTAACTTCATATCAAAATGCCTGCTTCAGTTAATTAGTTCAGTAATACGTAAACTTAAATAGTGTATTTGAATTTAATATGAACATGTAATGATTATTGAATGTGACATAGACCTAATGATATTTTGGATGTAGGACATGAACAAAGCATTGACTTATATTTCTTTTTCCTTATCTTTAATCGTATTATGCTGAAATGATCCAATTTATGTATTAAATGAGATAGTTGTCGAGGTCAACATGATGATTCTTAATAAAAAAAAATTATTAATTACTATTGCTTTTAATTAAATATTTTGTAGTTATGTAATGATTTCATAGTTGATCTGTTTAATTGAAGTTTCATCTCTTTATTTAAAATTGTGATTGTTATTAAATAGGTACTAAAACATTTTTAATATTCAATAATTCTTGAAATAACAATACCTATGTAGTACTTCAACAAGTGTCAGTAGCTGATATAAATAGCCTTAATATTACCCTTATCTTGATTTGATGTAATTTATAAACATCCCAATAGTAAATATAATGACTATGATTAAAACTTGACGTCTGTTTTTTAATTAAATACCAACAAATGAAGTTCCATTAAAAACAGAACTAATTGAATGACAAAATTTATTTGTACAGGGGAAGAGTCTAAGCGTCCAAGCTTAGACACCCGTCCGAACGATCAACGGGACGGCCGTTCATCATTGGGAGGCAACTCTAGAACGTACGACCGTGGTGGTCGGCGCGACGACCGCGACCGTGACCGCGAACGTGAAAACGATCGCGCCCACGATTCGCGATACCCGCGCAGGGACCGCGGTATGTTCACATATGTATAACATACTCCTTCTATTACCCTTTCTAAGGAGAGGCCTACGTCCGGCAGTGGACTGTTAAAGGTCGTTGATGTGATCATGATGATATTGGAGCTCCTAGTTGAACTGTGATGTTTAGTAAATAGCCTGGACTGTTAGCTGGCCAGACTGTTTGACAGATTATATAACATACCTCCTGTAAACTAAAGAGGTCAAACCTTAATCAAAAATTTATCACTCAGGTCATCAAAATGGCGATTCAGAACGCTTTGCCGAGGCAGACAACAATAGATGGTCCGAACGTGGCGGACGCGGCAGTGCCGGTGGCGGGGGAGGCGGGAGCGTCACAAGTTCGCGAGAGTCGCGTGACGTGCGCCGCGACGAGGACTTCAATGAGCCGCCGCAGCCGCGCAACGACCGCTGGAAGGAGCCGGAGCCGCGCATGGATGAGCGCTCCAATTCACGCTGGCCCTCTGACGACGTGCGGCGCACAAGCTCCCGCAGGGACGAGGTTCGTTGTCCCTACCGTTATTGTTAAATCTTAACTAGTTTTGGCCATCAATCCAAAAATTGTATGCTAATAATTCCTAATAGTGTTTTTCTCGATGAAAGGTACTCCGTCCTTTTCTGAACTTGTGGCCTGTGTGTATATTTTGATCGTATTTTACGATTATCGGTTGAGTATTTATTATAAATATGAAATACCAAAAAAGCAAATTAACTCTCACTTGTAATATTAGTTAAGTGGACTGTCTTGTGCAAAAATGATCCTATCCACAATTGGGCAAAATCGAATATTGCTTATTTATCAAAAATGATGGTTTTTTTTAAAGAACACTTTTTTTTTGAGGTACTGTTTCATCGCAAATAAATGAGAAAATTAATACAGATTTGCAGTTTGTGAACTGAACACTTATCCTAACCTTTTGCCGACACTGTATTTACGGCTGAATAGTTTAGGCCCAAGACTTGCCCCTTCATCGTATACTTATTATAATTAACTTACCGTTATATTTTTATCTGTTTATTTATTTCGGAAATGAAGAATGGCCAAGAAGGAGTATTATCCCCAATGCACACCCAGGTGTTCACTTGTGTTCCTTCATTTAACTGTTAGTGTCTGTAGTTTATAAATACTGACTTGTTGTAGAATGACTGGACGGTCCCGCTACCTCGCGACGAGCGGCAGGAGTTGGAGTTGTTTGGCACTGGCAACACAGGCATTAACTTCTCGAAGTACGAGGATATACCAGTTGAGGCTAGCGGCGACCGCGTCCCAGAGTTCATCACCAGTGTAAGTAACAACATAAATAAATAACCTCAATAATGTCTTAAGCGTCAAGAACCCAATATTGTATTACTTAATGTCTAAATCTTTATCAGTTCTATAGTATACCTTAGTTAGATATTGTTCCACTCGACCTCACGTAATCGTGTTTTGGGTACGGTGTAGATATTTATAGTGTTGTTCAAATGGCTCACTTATTGCAGACATTTAAGTAATCATGTGAATGATTACCTTGACAAGTACCACAAAGGCCACTACCACTTCTGATTCACATTAGTATGATTCACATAATACAGTTGTTTTTTAGTTGTAGTTTAATCCTTGTGATAAGAATAACTAGCTCTGTTAATTAATATTATTTAACGGGAATTAACGCGATCTCTTATTTAGGCCGTGGTCACCGGCCAGTCAGCCTGTGACCACGGCCGGTGCAACCTGGTCGAAACGTCAGGCAAACCAGAGGTATGTAATACCCTAAATAAGAGATCGCGTTAATTCCCGTTAAATAATATTAATTATCATGGAACGCGAAAGTTTAAAAGTTAGAACTAGCTCTGTTTCTATGAATTAGTTTCTCGAATATTTATGTATCCAAATGAAACATTCGCTCTCGGATTTTATTACGGGTCCAACTTTACATAAGAGGTTCTTTTGTTGTGACTACTTTTATGTGGATTCCTTTTATTGTTTCATGTTTATATTTAACATTACAGTTTGAGGATGTTAACCTGACGGAAATAATGCGTTCGAATATAGCGCTCGCCAGGTACGACAAGCCAACTCCGGTACAGAAGTATGCGATCCCTATAGTGCTGGGGCATAGAGACGTGATGGCGTGTGCACAGACAGGCTCAGGTAAAACGGCTGCTTTTCTCGTACCTATACTCAATCAGATGTACGAAGCAGGACCCGTCAAGCACATGGGGTAAGTAAACATTACCACTAAATTTGTATGTTTAGCTTAACATTGAAATCTAAATGAATTATTTTTTTATACAGGCCCTACAATCGGCAGCAGAATCGTAAACAATATCCTCTCGGATTGGTACTTGCCCCAACGCGCGAGCTGGCTACCCAAATATATGATGAGGCTAGAAAATTTGCCTATCGTTCTCGTGTTCGCCCTTGTGTTGTGTAAGCATATTTACATATGTTAAAAGTTTGCAATCAGACACTATTTGCTGCGTTAATCATTATTCATCAAGGTATGAAAATAAATATAAGATGCACCAAAAGTGATCGGTCTATTTACAAATTTTTAACTGATTGTCAGAAGGCGTGTCTAAACTGCGTTAGACTGAACTGAATTAAAGCACAATGGGTATGTGTCAACAAAAGGTTCGTAACATTGCAGGTACGGCGGTTCTCCGGTACACGAGCAGTTCCGCGAACTGGAGCGCGGCTGCCACTTGCTGGTGGCGACCCCGGGGCGCCTGGTCGACATGCTGGCGCGCAAGCGCGTGGCGCTGGACCACTGCCGCCATCTGGTGCTGGACGAGGCCGATCGGATGTTGGATATGGGTTTCGAGCCCCAGATCCGCACAATCGTCGAGAGTCACACGATGCCCAAAACGGGCGAGCGCCAGACGCTCATGTTCTCTGCGACTTTCCCCAAACAGATCCAAGTTTTAGCACAAGATTTCTTGCATAACTATGTTTTTCTCGCAGTTGGGCGTGTAGGATCTACTTCCGAGAATATCACCCAAAAGGTAATTTTTTACCCTTTTAGATACTTATCTTATTTTAAGATTCACATTTTATGCTTTTATTTAATAATATTTTAAATTTGCACATTCTAAATCTGCAATAGTTTCTCTCGGTTATAACATAAACAGCCTCTACTAGTCCACTGATGGACATAGGCCTCAGCTTAGAAAGGAGGTTTGGCAACAATCAGTACATCTAAAATGTAAAGTTTTACCTACAATATAAATAACATTCGATCTATAGAAACATTTAAAGTAAATATTTATGAGAGCCGATTCTACAATTTCTATATGTATTGAACTTACAGGTGGTGTGGGTGGAAGAAATGGATAAACGTTCGTTCTTGTTGGATTTGCTGAACGCATCTAATTTACTGCAGCAGGCGAATCCCAGTGAAGAGGATCAACTTGTCTTAGTTTTCGTCGAGACCAAGAAAGGTGTTTGTCAGAATAACGTAATGAAATATATTTCGATTGATTGGTTGCTAATGATAGTTATTAAATGCAGGTGCCGATCAGTTAGAAGAGTATTTGGATAGTATGGGATACCCAGTGACGTCTATTCACGGCGACAGAACACAACGTGAACGCGAAGATGCGCTTCGCCGGTTCCGCACTGGACAGACTCCCATTCTAGTGGCGACTGCGGTGGCGGCTAGAGGTTGGATTCATTTCTAGTATACAACAACATAACATTATTATTCTTATTATCATAGTAGGCTAATCATAAATATGCAAACCTTTATATCCTTATTCTTAATAAAACAAAATACAAATATTTAAATTTAGTATTTTCAGTATACATTAAATATAAATGTATACTGAAAATACTAAATGTATGTGTACTGTATGTATACTTTGCTAACAATTTTTATTTTCTAGCCAATTGTGTTACTTGTCAAAAGGTTCATATCCTTAGTGTTGAATTTCACTCTGTTAGCTCACTCTACAAGAGTTTACTATCGAAAGTAGATAGATGAATGTATGTATGAGCCAACTTTGTAACTTTTTTAAATGTTTTCTTGTCACATTCACAATTTTTATAACAGTTGAACTATTTAAAACTGACTATTTTGGTAAATTGCTAACTCATATTAGGTATAATATGTGTCATAACATATGTATTAACCCAAACATGGCTTTGAAAAATGATGGACAGACTTTACTTGGTTGTGTATTTATTTTAAGTTTTAAAATGATTAATTTGACACAGGTTTGGATATCCCCCACGTGCGTCACGTGATTAATTTTGATTTACCCTCGGACGTGGAGGAGTACGTACATCGCATCGGTCGTACGGGCCGTATGGGCAACCTGGGCGTCGCTACGTCTTTCTTCAACGACACCAACCGTGGCCTCGCACGGGAACTCATTCAGCTGCTCGTGGAGGCCAAGCAAGATGTGCCCAAGTGAGTATTACAAGTTCCGTGGTACTGAAAGAGCAACGTTTTGTGTAACTAATTTAATAAATTGATTAACATTGAGCAGAATAGATATTAATAAACACGGTGACATTTGATGACGAATTATCGTTTTATAGGCCCCGCAACTACGTCACTTTTATTTTGTTGGAGCTTCAGTTTGCAGATGGTATTGTTACTAAAAAATAAGATAGATAAGATAGTTTATTTTCTCTTCTACAAAGATTACTTGATATTAGGTTCTTACAGTAATCGCTCAGGACCGTTTTGGGAAAATCGCATCTACACTAGGGAACCTTGTCACGCAGATTACCAGGAATAGCCAAATAGCAGAATAGCAGAACTAAGTGTGAGCATTACAGCTGGCTGACGAGCACGGCGGCCGACGGCCGGATGGGCGGCGGCGGCCGGCGCACGGGCAGTCGCTCCGGTGGCGGCCGCTTCGGCGGCGGGAGCACCAGCTTCGCCGCAAGGGACTTCCGCACGCAGCCACGGCAGCCGCCGCGCTCCGCTGGACCTTCCACTATTGGCTCTGGTTTGTATCACTCTTTTAAGGCACGTGCATGCAATACCTGCATCAAGCATATTTGAACCGGATTAAAGAATAGCAAAAGCTTGGCAAAGTTTTATAAGAGTATCACAATTTGGTTCGTTCGAAACGTGTGTTGAATGGGATTAGTACGTCAGTTTGTGACAAGTAAAGCGTGAGCGTTTTTGGGCACTTAAAAATAGTATACTGCCGTAGATTTTATAAGTAAAAACAAATCCGCCGATGACGATTAGATCGGTAGTTGATAAGAATGTTCGTTGGCAGGTTTCGGCTACGGCGGCGGGTCGTACGGAGGCAACTACGGCGGCTCGTACGGCGGCGGCGGCGGCGGCGGCAGCTCCGGCGGCCCCGACTGGTGGGACTCTTAAGCGCTCGCTCTCCGCCCTCCGCCCTCGCACCGCACGCGACTTCCGTACTCGACTCCCTCTTTCGTAACTTAAGCGATGTGAAACGTTTTAGATTAATATATTTTATTTTAATTCGTGAACCGATAGTTGGACTGAAATTGACCTGTGACTGTTTAATACGATGTTTATTCAATAGAGAAAGCGGTGCGACAATGATAGTGTGCGGGCGCTCTCGGCCGAGCCGGGAATCTCAGTGTGCGGCTTGCCGGCGCGTCGCACCTCGTTTCTTATCTGCATACTTGTCTGCATAGATGCATAAATGTCTGTGAATAATACCGCGATAATGGTAGTTCGCGATCATTAATGGAATAATCTTAGATTAAATTTTGATCACAGTTTCGTTTGCGCCACGTGCGCCGTGCGCCGTGATACGCACGAGTTTTGTCTTTTTTAACGATTATGTGAGAGTAGTCTTTTAATATAGAAATATTTTTGATGTCTGATCTGTATCGTGAATTTGTTAGTGAACAATGCGTATTTTCGATTTTCTATTTTCCGACAATCTCATCATCATTCGTGACACTGACATTTTGAAGCATTTACGCACCCTAAAATCGATGTAGCTAATGGAATAGTAGACTTAGAAATTGAAGAGTACCGATACAGTATCATAGCAAATAATTACTAAATTTTGTCTGTAGAGAGCCCATGATGTAATATCTTCGACGTGATCTATAATTTGAATGTGAATTTACCAATAAAAAATAAGAAACAGGATAATTTGGTTTTTGTTTGGCCTTTCTCTCAATGTGCATACAGATAAATAGTAGAGATGTGCCGACTATGACTTTAGCCGACTAGCCGAGTAGTTAGGCCGACTAGTCGGCCAATCCGATCACGATTTCGTTGGTGTTCAGCATTTTCCGTCATTTATAGCGGGTAAGCGCGTTTTGGAACGTCTTGTTTGTACGAGGGTGAATTTAAAAGCTTTTTTGCAAATAACTGCATTCTCTATCGTATATCATGGAGAATGCTCCCAGGAATCGTTCGAACTAATAGCGGACGCAACTTGCCGCCATCGTTCCTCATGGCAAAATTTTCATCAGTAGTTTTGAAAAAGTGTCTTGAAAAGCGTTCTAGACACGTTGGCTCGCATCACCACCAAACTATGGGACAAGTTATCGTCTGTGGTATTTCCGGACCGATACGACCTTCAAGAAAGAGCATACTCCTTCCTCAAAGGTTAGCAATGAGCTTGTGACTCCTGAATTGCAGGCGTTCATTGGCGCAGGTCGTCACTTTCCATCAGGTGATCCATCTGCTCGATTGCCCCCTCTTCCATAAATACCTATATATATCAATAATAATTTTGGGGGTTAGTTTGATATATAGTTTAAGAGAGATAATATTTATGGAGTTTTACTTTATTCAAGAGGTAGATTGAGCTGTGAAGCTGATCTTCGTGGCGGTGGCGTGGCGTGACAGTCTTCGTTACGGAAGAATGTGTCAAAAACGACGAGAATTTGGTTTTGGAGGACAGGAGCATAACCATGGAACATTTCACTGAGATCCTAAAAATTTTATTTGGTAGTTCTAATTTTCTGTCGTATTGTTACTATAGATTGATTGACTGCATGGATGGCGTAGTGGTTTAAGCGATCGCCACGCCGCTTTCTACTACGCCGAGTGTTGTGGGTCCGATCCCCACATAGGACGACACTTTGTGTGATCCACGAGTAGTTGTTCTGAGTCTGGGTGTTCTTTGTGTCCGTTTCATGTATGTAAAGTCCCCCGAGAAACAGGATATTTTTTTCTAATGCGGGAGTTGTAAAAAGAAAAAATAGATAAGACATGGGTCTGCCATTTCAATACCAAAACAACAATGAGACAAAGTTTGTCTTGGAAGCAGCCATCTCTGCCCTCAAAGAATTTTTCAATTGCTTCAACCACTGGCAAAAGTTATGGCTTCAGTGTTCTGAGATAGTGAAGGAATACTATTGATTGATTACATGCCGAAAGGACAGACTTCTACTAACTGACTTTTACTACATTTTTATGCAGATTTAATCGCAAGTTTGTGAAGCGATTAATGAAAAACATCGTGGTAAATTGTCATTGGGCTCATCGATCGCCACTTGCGCTCAAGACAATCGGCAGTGCTGACAATAGGTGATTGATTGACGTTGCCCCTAACACCGGATTTCGACATGGACAATAACATCTATGGCACATAAAAAAAGTGCATGATGCAAATGAATATGCAACATGTGCGTACAGATAATTTAAGACTTGTATATTTGATACAATTTCCATTTAAACGTATTGTGTCATAGCGAGAAAAGTAATATTTTCCATAATTTATAATGAAAAGTCGTGACATAATATAAACATGTATCGTAACCAGCTACGTGACGATGTACGTAAAATGGGTTATGATTAAACCGATGGTAATCTTCGTATTTTTTCCAAGGAAGATGCTCCATGGAAAGATGTGGCTAAAATTCAGTTTAATTACAGGCACCCCTAATCGCATTACGATAGGTATTAAGTACTTTTGAACTGCCTGACGATTCGACCAAGTTGCACTGACCTTGGTCCTGTGACCAAAGTCAGTGCTGACTCTAATATATACTTGTTATAAGTATATAATATGTATCTATATATTGTGAGCGCGTTAATTCCCGTAAACATTGGAACGCGATAGTTTAAAATTCAGAAGTGCATACTATATAAGTGACGGACTAGTGTGTGTAAAAGTTTTAATGAAAGCAGAGGGAGCTATGAAGGTATGAGGAAGGAAGGAAGGTAAAAGTATGTAAAAGGTTGGAGCAACTGACGTGCTGTTGTCTCTGCCCATGTAAGTGAATCTTGGCCATCAGCTGCCCCTTTCGCAGCACCCATCATATTGACTACATACTACATAAAGAATTCATTCGGTTTACATATACGGCTTGTATATAACCAACTCGTGTGTGGGAGCCACGATGTTCCCTTGCTACTCGCGCGCGCCACTCCGGCCAGTTTCTACTAGGGTGATGGCCTCACCTGTCACCCCAAGGCCTGCGCTTATAGAGGACGAACGTCGTTCTGCGGCTTCATACGTCTGCGGTAGGTACCTGGCCCGCTCTAAACCTCTTCTTATCCCGCTCCACCGTCACCTTCGCAAGAGTTACTTACTCGCAGTAGATAAATTACCTAAGTTGGTATTAATTTACGAATTACGAGTACAGTTCTTATTGACTTCCTTAATTTTAGATAACGATAGATAACCTTAAATTTAATAAATTTAATAAAAAAACTGTGTTTGTTTGTTTAAAAGTTAGTTATTTTTCCTTCAGCTTAGATTAACGCTGCGCACGGATGCAATGTAGATACTACTAATACTATCATTATGATAGGACTATACCATGTAAACTATACTATCTTTAAATGCAATATTTATAGGCCCGCTCCGATCCTGTTCTTTGCAGGATCGGAGCGGGCCTATAAATTTTAATCTACATTAAATGCACAACGTTTCTAACGTATTTAATTGGATAAGTAATAACAATGTATTGTTCAAAAAAGCTTTGTAAATAACCCATTAATTTTGTAATATTTAAAAGATATAAATAATAGTTTAAAAAAACTAAAAAAACACGCTTCTATAGAAAATCCAACTAAAAAACAGAAAATAAAGTTTAATAAATTTGGATTAAGAATAGTGTAAATTAGAAATAAATTTATACTTTTGTAGAAAATAACAAAAATGATAAAAATACTGATATCTGGAGGAACTGATATTAACAGTGACGCATGAATGTTACCTATCCATTATGCTGCTTTAAACGATCGTGGCTCACCACGATCGTTTCGTATCTAGTAAAATTTTTATTATCTCAATAATAAAAAATTTACTAGATAATGGAGTCTATGTTGATACCTTAGATCAGAATTCCAAGACTCCTCTAAATACTGCCATCGATGCAAGGAAATTACAAGCTGCAGAACGGATTTTAAAATACTGCCCTAATCTAAAGTGTAAAAACAATAACGACATACTTGATACCATTAAGTCTTATGATAAATCCGAATACAGAAAGGCGATATCTATGTTTTTTAAATATGGTGGCACAATTACACATAAACATGTGAATAATAAGCTATTAATTCATACCGCGATTGAATTAGGCTTAGTTAGTATTGTGGAAGAGCTGTTAAAATTGAGAGCTAGTCCCAACACTGTTTTAAATAACAATTTCATGTACTCCATATTGCATATCGCCTGCCGTCATCATCAGAACAAAATGGTTGAATTATTAATTAATAGCGGAGCTGATGTGGATTATAGAGATCGTCAAGGTCGAACACCTCTGTTTTGTGCAATAGCTAATAGGGATACTCATATAATCGAGCTTATTGCTACTTAATAATGCTAATGTTAATGCTGAAATTAAAGATGGGCGGACCCCGCTTTCTGTAGCAGCTGAAAATACCGATGGCGACATCGTTCGCTTACTTTTAAATCATGGTGAGGATATTAATTGTACTATTTCATTTGCACTGTGTATAGAAGACGATGACAGTACGGATGAGGATCATTATTTCGGAGATTACGATGCTCTTATCGATTATTACTATGAGCATCAACATCAAAATGAAGAGTCGTGAAGTCGCAGAAATTTTGCAAAAACACAAAATATTGTTGAAAACTGCAAATTTGCCCGTAGATAGTGAATATTTAAATTTAGTTTCTGATGAATGGGGTCTTACAGTGGAGTGCAAAAAAAAAAAAACAATTTGATTAAGTACAGTATAAAAAAAAAATTAATGTACATTATTGTAAAAAAGCGTGGGGTGCATAGTGTCAATAGTTATAAACATTTATTGTCAGATGAGTAGAAAAATCATCACTTTGAAAATATCATAAAAAGCACTTTTATTTGTTCTGGCTCTGTGGCTCGAATTTCAGCTCTATGCTGACGCACTTGCTGCAAACGAGTTTCTCTAACGTGTTCTGGCTCTGTGGCTCGAATTTCAGCTGTATGCTGACGCACTTGCTGCAAACGAGCTTCTCTAACGTGTTCTGACTCTGTGGCTCGAATTTCAGCTGTATGCTGACGCACTTGCTGCAAACGAGCTTCTCTAACGTGTTCTGGCTCTGTGGCTCGAATTTCAGCTGTATGCTGACGCACTTGCTGCAAACGAGCTTCTCTAACGTGTTCTGGCTCTGTGGCTCGAATTTCAGCTGCATGTTGACGCAGTTGCTGCAAACGAGCTTCTCTGGCTTTCTCCGACTGTTTGGCTCTATAACTTTTCATATAAAGCTTTCTTTTTTTCCTTCTCTCTTCTAATTCTTCGCTCGAGAGTTTTGATGTTCTTTTCATTGACAGTTGTCTTCTTTTCTCCAATATCCTTCTTTTTTGTGTTTTGGTTTGTTGTTGTTTTTTCTCCATAATATTCCCACGAGTAAAGGACAAATAAACGGTCCACCCCCCCCAGAGGTCCTGTAGAAGGGTAAGGCACTTATACAACAGTGTGCCTGGTGCCCTGAGGTTGACGCTAGCGACATGACATTTTTTAACACCCTCTGCCTGTCTGTTGGATTGGGTGTCTCATATAAATAGGAGCAACGCCCGAATGTAGATGCTTCGAGATAATAGAATACAATAGCATGTGTGCGGGGGCGGATTTTTCGCTGTCGTAGAGAATTCAAGTTGCATCCATGGGCTTGAAAGAGCTGCACGCTACTACTCACACTTGTATACGGATCGTTCCCCAAGATGTAATGCTGCGCGCGCATGACATGGAGTAACCGTTGACAGTACGTGCTGTCACTTGCGAGTAGTCCTATGCATGTCTCAATGAATAGATCATGTATGTCACCAGTAGCTCAGTTTTTTTATCATTACATCAATTTACTACTAAAGTGAGACTAAGTAAATGTTGGCTGTTAGATTATATATTCAATAAATATGCCGCAAAATAAATAGATATTTCTGTCCTGAATATTTTGTTTTGTTGTGAATACGAAGTTTTTTATGTAAATCATAGTTACCGGTATATTATGGATATTATAAAATGATAATAGTATGCGTATTAGATTTGTTGGTACATTTATGTTTGTATGCGGAACAAGACGCAATAACTAATCAGACAAATGAGGAAATTGGGTGCCTGCTACCTTCCTTGGATACGGTAGTCGTTTCTCAGGTTCCCTCTCCGAAAATTTGTTCTTCTTAACAGTTGGTGACCTTATCGACTGCAGATCCAAGCTCATGCTGGTAACTGAATTATATGCCGCAAAATAAATAGATATTTCTGTCCTTAATATTTTGTTTTGTTGTGAATACGAAGTTTTTTATGTAAATCATAGTTACCGGTATATTATGGATATTATAAAATGATAATAGTATGCGTATTAGATTTGTCGGTACATTTATGTTTGTATGCGGAACAAGACGCAATAACTAATCAGACAAATGAGGAAATTGGGTGCCTGCTGCCTTCCTTGGATACGGTAGTCGTTTCTCAGGTTCCCTCTCCGAAAATTTGTTCTTCTTAACAGTTGGTGACCTTATCGACTGCAGATCCAAGCTCATGCTGGTAACTGAATTATATGCCGCAAAATAAATAGATATTTCTGTCCTTAATATTTTGTTTTGTTGTGAATATGAAGTTTTTTCTGTAAATCACGGTTATAAATATATTATGGATATTATAAAATGACAATAGAATGCGTATTAGATTTGTCGGGACATATATGTAAGTATAAGGAACAAGACGCAACTACCATATTAGTTTTTATAAGGTTGTGCTGAACTGAGGGCCCGAAAGAGCAAGTCTGGAACTGCACGCATGCGTAGTTCGCGCACTAGCTCTGTCTCTCTTACTCGCATGCAAAGGATGCGGAAAGACATTAATTAATCCTGGCGAATCTAATTAGGATAATCGGATATTTTGATCGGATTATTGCATTGTCATCGACCTTTGACAGGTGTGTAAAGTTTGAATCAAATCTGATCGTTCAAAGTAGGGCAAAATCGAGCTCAAAGGAGTCGGTTACATACAAACAAACAAACAAACAAACATACAGGTGAAGCTAATAAAAGCGTGTTATCGTATTATCCTTAGGAGATAGACATACTATATACCACTCCGGACTTTTTTGTAGATCTTTTTAAAATCTACAATGCCGTACCTACTACATTATTTTTGCCTATCTCGTAACGATTAGCGTTTGCAATGTAAGCGCGCGCGAAACCATGTTTTTTAAGACAAATCTTTGAAATTCTCGGATTTTCTCTACTATAATATCAATTTATTATAAATGTAAACCTTCTTTTTGAATCACTATCTCTATTGGTTAAAACCGCATTAAAATGCGTTGCTTAGTTTAAAAGATCTGTGTACAACACAAAAAAAACAACTTTATTTTTAACCGACTTAAAAAACACAAAAGAGGAGGTTATCAATTCGTCCGTATTTTCCCGTAGTTCCCATTACCACCAAATCAGGATCTGATGATACTCCTAGAGAAATCACCCTCAAGTTTTATAGCCCGATAACGTGTTTTAGCTTATTTCTATAGCTTTATAGGTATTTTCGTTTAGTAGTCGTTATTTCATGTTGCTTAGCTGATGATGGAAGAACCCTTGACCGTTAGAAGTTAGAGAATAACTTTATAAAAACCTAATCATGTATTGACCTCCTAAGGATAACCCACAGCAACCTTTTTTATTTTTTAAATATTACAAAATTAATGGGTTATTTACAAAGATTTTTTAAACAATACATTGTTATTACTTATCCAATTAAATACGTTAGAAACGTTGTGCATTTAATGTATATCAAAATTGCTCTTTGCAGGATCGGAGCGGGCCTATAAATATTGCATTTAAAGATAGTATAGTTTATATGGTATAGTCCTATCATAATGATAGTATTAGTATTGGTATTGGTATTGGTATTAATATTGGTTGTGGGCTTCGGTTTCCGCATTTAGACTCAGAGTGGTCCTTTATGCGTCGAGGATTGGTTGACTAGGTGAGCCAGCCAAGCTCCTTCCAGAAGCGCAGAAGCCTCGACTTTATATCAGGAATGATACTTGCCCGTTGTGTGGCCACTCCCTCGCATTCCAGGACTACGTGGACGGCCGTTTCTTCAGCTTCCAGACATCCCCTGCACAGGGGACTGTCTGTCGCATTGATTATGAATAGTTGTCGGTTCAGGGCTAGATGTCCTGTAATAGTTCCGAGTTCAGTCTGCAGGTGAGTCGTGGTGTGACTTGATTCAGCACCAGTTTGGATTGTCTGCAGCCGGGTGAGTATATAGGATAGTATTAGTAGTATCTACATTGCATCCGTGCGCAGCGTTAATCTAAGCTGAATGAAAAATAACTAACTTTTAAACAAACAAACACTAAATTTTTATTAAATTTATTAAATCTTCAAGGTTATCTATCGTTATCTAAAAATAAGCAAGTCAATAAGAACTGTATACTCGTAATTCGTAAATTAATACCAACTTAGGTACTTTATCTACTTCTCTTCTAGTAGTTTATTCTTCGTGATAAAGTTACCATTTCATTCAATTTTATTATTCATTAGGGAATTGTAAAGATTTAAATTTTGTTTTATCTTATTCCTATTACTTCGTATTCTCTTAATTTACTCCATGTCTTAACGTATTTATCGCCTTTGTGTAAAAAGAACCGTCTAACGGAGGTTGAATTACATAATATATACATATAAAGCAAATAATCGGCTGCTTTACCTACGAATGTTGTACACATATTTATTTGTAAGCTATTGTTTAGGTGTGTGGTGGGTTCTTTAACCATTTATTCTTTTACTACCTACTCAGGTAATTAGGTAGAAAAAGACTGTTAGTGTACCACTACTACAAAACCACTAACCTCATCTGCGCGACCAAAAATATTATTATTACTAATTTATGTCATCGATTACATCCAGTAATGGCCAACGGCTTATTGAATATGTCTTTTTGTGGCGCCTTTTTATTTGGAGATCGCGTCTAGAGCAGGAGGGACCCCGCCGCGATGGCATCCACGGAATGCCTAAAAGGTGACTCGTGGATAAATTACGGGCATTTCTTCCATTTTAACGATACCCTTTATTATTTAATTTATTTTTATCGTATGTTACACATTTGCCTTATAACAATGTTTGTTTTTGGGTTTCATTAGCATAATGCTCATGCTGGGGTTAACAAAAAAGTTAGGCTACGACCAATTTGGTTTTTCGATAGGATCTATTTTATCTTATGATGATTCTTATACGTTAAACTTTCACGATTCTATTAACGCTGATAGCGGGATATCTCAATTCTGTAGTAATTTGTCGGGTTTTTTTATCGTGTTAGGGATGTGACATAATAAAACAATTAATTTATTATCGTTACTAAAGATGATTTTGATCAGTTAATCGACGCACCCTTGGACGTCAATTGTTCAACGTACTATCAATTTTTATTAATTTATTTCTAGTACAAACTCTCCCAATTTTTTTTATATGGGCTCGTTAATTTCTTGAGAGTAAATAATATTGTACGTATAATAAAATGTAATTAAAGTTGAAGATTCAATTGGTTGCGCAGTGTGCTATTTTACCTTTATCTAATGTCCTTGTCTAGATGGCGTGTCAAGACAACTAGGTACTCGTATAATTAGTACCTAATAACTTTATTATGCTTGTGTGAGTGAAAATCGAGTGTTTAATAACAGCTTTGATAGCCTATCTAGATATTCTATCAACGATCTAAGGTTTTACCATTCGCCGCAATGAAGAACTTGATTTGTACGCTTCAAATTTAAGGTATTGACATACTATGCAAGTTAGAAAAGCGATTAACAAAATAATGCCAAAATGAATATTAGCCCTTAACAAATACTTACCTAAAGTTTTTTATTAAGAGTATATATTTTATTTTATTAGGGATGATGACGGATTAAGAATATGTTATGTCACCACCTTTATTCATCTCGTGGGTGTCGTAAAAGTCGACTAAGGGAGAAAACTACGCAAGACAACATCACTGCAAAGAGAAGGAAAACTTGAAACAAACCCTATACCAACCCGTCTTTCCAGCGTGGTATAGTAGGCCAAAACCTCCTTTCGGAGATTCAGCAGTGGACTATCATAGGCTGGTGGTGTGAGGGATGGAATAAAATCACAGTCACCTATCATGAATATGATTTAAATAATTTTACGTGAATCACAACTGTGACTAATTTACAAAAACAGACGGTCAATCATTCAGACTCGCAAAAGGCCAAAAAAGGTCAAATTCAGAGATTAAAAGAAAAATCAATATTTATTGTCTATAAACAAAACACAGCACTGCTTTATCACAAGTGAAATCGGAGTGCTGGAACCAATCATTTCATCATATGATTATGATTTAAAAGTAGCAATAATTGCCATCACTGGTATCTATCAATCTAAAATCAGCCTATTGTATGTTATTAAATATGTTCAAATATATATATATGGCCACCTGTTGGTAAGTGAATGTCGCTGCCATGGACATCTGCGGCTCAGTGTCACAAGTGTGATGACGCCATTTCCATTCCATTGAGCCAATTCTCCCCCGCCTACATTTTGAGGACTTTAGAGCCTCCAGCAACATCAATCACTCGGTGAATAGTAACGATGGAATTGCTTAATGTATGGAACATGATTATCCAACACGTTCAGAATTGTAGAAGCATATTAAATTATATTTATGTTGATTGTAAATCGCTAGGACTTAAGCAGCTTTTTGTCTTGAGATGCCCAATAATATAGGTAATTAACAAGATATTTAGTGAAGACACGCTGAATACCCACTAGTTAATCAAAAAGTCTCTAATACGTTCGTGTTCCTCATTGCAGATGCGGTTTAACTAAGCTTATCCGTTTGAAAAATCCTTTTTTTTCGATGTGTTCGGTGAGAATTTAAACCATTAAAGTATTTATTGGTTTAAATTCCTGTAAGAAAATATTTAAAGATGAACTTGAACAAGAGAGTTGAATTTAAACTTCGTATTGTATATTTAAATAGAATATATTTTCATTTAAAAATAATTACCTAATTATAATAAAAATTAATTATCTTAAATATATGACATGTATCCTTAACACAACCTGGCACGTTGTGACTTTTGGTAGTGCCACATCTTTGGTTAAAAACGAGCAGCCTCTTTCTAGCTCACATTAGGTATAAAAGCCGGTTTGCCTTAATTACTTAATTATGTCATATAAAATAACATAGCCTAACTAATTATTTGGTAAAAAAATGCAAAAAGTTGGGGTCATCTGCCCACAACTGAAGTGCTAATAAATTCAGGATAGTAACTTTATACGACACTGATCACACACTTGACTGAAATTCCACAATGGTGAATGTAGGGTTAGTCTATATTATGTTACGTCACTATATCATACCAAGTATATAATATTCTTACTAATACACATGTACCAGGATAATTGTTAGATCAATCATAAGGTACTGCTTTATAGTAAAAGTCTTATAATTATTCTAAATGTTCCATTAAACATCCTTAGTTACAAGAAACAGTTGTGTGTATAAAAGTTAAGAATATTGAACCCTATTCAAATTGTAGTATAACCCTTTAAGTTTAAACAGTTCAGCGTGGGTGCCCATTTCTGCGACTTGTCCATCATGCACAACGCAGATGAGGTTAGCGTCTCGTACTGTGCTGAGGCGGTGGGCGATCATTACGCACGTGCGACCGGCCTTGGCTGCATCTAATGCTTCTTGTACAACCTGCATATAAATAAAGTTTTTGTATTAAATCTTTAAGACAAGGATTTGTTACTGAAGGCAGGATACGCAGACCGAAGTTCAAGTGATTGGAGTTTTCAGTGTAGTTGTACTTACCCGAGGAGATAGCCATGTGTTCATTCTTATATTTTCGGCTGGATGCCAAGAAAATATAGACCGATATATTAATCCTTTTTCCTACGACCTAGTATCACTACTTTGGTGCACCGTTACTAGACTTTAGGTTATTGAGAATTTCCTAACAGAAATATTATTATCAAGAGAAGTCGAGCTGCGGAAATTGACTGTGATAGGTAATGATATACAGAGTAAATGCCTTATTATATAAGTTTACCTTCTCGCTCTCAGTGTCTAGAGCACTTGTAGCTTCGTCCAGCAGTAACATCTTTGGGCGCCGTATCAGAGCTCTCGCAATGGCCACTCTTTGCTTCTGACCGCCAGATAATTGTGTTCCTTTTGATCCTATGTTTGTATCATAGCCCTAAGGGAATAAAAACGAGTTTTTAGTAACAAACAAACTTACTTTAGATTAAACGATTATATTTTCGTTTGGTTCGAATAGTGTGAACATAAAGCAAAAACTATCTACGCATTATATATTTTAAGGTATAAATAGTAATAGAAAAGAGAAACGGAAACCTGCCACTCGTTTTGCCTTGTCAATCTCAACAATGGTAGATTAACCAAACATAACTTTCAAGTACAGTGAATTTATTCAGGTAGTATAATTACACGTAGGTACAACCTTCTCCGCCATTTGCATTATTTTGCATATTTAATTAATTTTCATTCCTATGTTTCGAAATTCGTCATCATCAACATCAACAGTCTTTCGTATTCCATTGCTAGACATCCTTTCTAGGAGCGGCCCTCCTTGGAAAGGAGATTTTGATTTTGCCGTGGTATACAGGCCAGACGGCTCTGTATACGGTTTGTTTCAAGGTTTCCTTCTCACTGCAGTGCTGTTGTCCTGCCATTAGCACCATATAAATGAAAAATAATTAAAAAGGGCTTCTCATAGAAGGAGATAAGAAGGATCCGAAACTACAGTTCTGTCACCTTATTTACCCAATCTCTATTACGTGATGAGGGTCGCTAGTAAATAAATAAAAGATTGATGAGAGTAAGGATTTGATTTTACAATACGAAATGAATTGGTTGAATAAAGTATCAAACCAATTGGATTAACTGTTATTTATGGTTACCAAAACAACTCCAGCGTAAATCAATTGCCCACCTAACTAAGATTCTACATCTTGCGATTTCTATACTTTTACCTTTGTTCTAGTGTTCCTTTACAAGTTAACGATAAAGTTATTGATCTCACCAGTGGTAACGAAGTGATGAAATTATGAATGTTTGCTTGTTGAGCTGCTTCTATGATGCTGTCCATGGTAGCATTAGTGATACTGCCGTAAGCAATGTTTTCTCCGATGGTGCGGTCAAAAAGAATAGGTTCTTGCTGGACGAACCCAATTGATTTTCTTACATCTACAAGCTTCAATTTTGGAAGAGGTATACTGTCTTGGGCCTGTAGGTACAAGGGTAAGACACATATTAATTTAGTGTAAAATTCAAACTCTATTCAGTATATTAGCGATAGTATGATTATTTAGCATATATAGAGGTTGTTTTAATGTGAAACATCTAATGCAGAGGGTCAGACCGGTTGTTGGAGTGGCGATGCGTCGTCACGATATGTGATAGTGTATGTTCTTGTCACTAATAACAGAATTGAGTTGTCTCCACTTAATTTGTGTATTAAATTAATATAAATGTATGTTAAATAAACAATTTAAAAAATGAATACAATGTTTAACTTGTGCTGTATTTATTATTTCCCTTCATTATCCAAAATTTTTATACTCATTATTTCTACAAAACATCTTGGATGTTCCATTATATATCCACTTTATTTTAAATTTACTATATGGATTTTCAAAAATATGAACATATCGAATATAGTTCAAGGTTAAAGTTTAGCCGTATTTGTTAATATGGCTAAACTTGTAAATAAATATGAGGAAACATACCACGATGCCTTCATTCGGGTCATAATATCTCTGTAGCAATTGTATGACAGTACTTTTGCCGCATCCGCTGGCTCCCACTAGGGCAACGGTCTTGCCTCTCTCGATCTCTAGATTGAAATCTTTTAGGACTTGAATGTTGGGGCGCGTGGGATATCTAAATTGGACGTTCTGTAGACTCGCTTGTCCGCTACCACTCTAAAAAATAAACAATTAAATGGTTTAATATCCTAAATGTTATTTTCTTCATATCATAGCTTTAGGTAAGTATATATGTATGTCCATGTATGCAAGTGCAGTATGAGGTTGTAGTTTTGAGTTGTAAATAATGCTTTATATTATTTTAAATCCGTCCGGTCCGTGCGGTGACGGATTAAGACTACGGAGTGTCACCACCCCTTTTCATCCCGTGGGTGTCGTAAGAGCCGACTAAGGGAGTAAACTACGCAGGACAACAACACTGGCAAGAGAAGGAAAACTTGACACAAACCCTTTCTTTTCTTTTTTTTTTTTTTAACGTGTGGAAATCCCCTCGGACCGTCACCCCACCGGGGTTTGCGGCGGGGTGGTGTGTCGGACTCGAACCGACTAAAACCACACGGTGTGCCGTGTGCCAGTTTAGGAGGGGTCCAGGTAGTTATCGCCTTCTGGACCCCTCCTAGCGCCGGCCCGCTCCTATTGCGGGCCCCGTCTCAAAATTTTCCTCTCTTTAGGCGACGTCCGGCACACGCGGACGCCGCCCCCTCGCGGCTGGCCAAACTAATGCGGGTGGAGGGGAAACCCACCCCGTCCACCCGCGGCCACACTCAGGGCGGCATGAGGCGCAAGTAAGCGCGCCTCCGCCGCCCGGTTCGCCGGCGGCGGATCAGGTCCGAGTGGAGGTCGTCCTCCCGGGCCTTCTCCGCCGCCTCCTTCTGCGAGATTACCTCCTCGCAGAAGGTTGCGACCGCGGTAAAACAACTGTCGCTACCGGCCATGGACCGAATTACGGCCGGTAGCGAGAGATCTGCTCCGATGACTGCAGTGAGGGCCCGGCGCTGCGTCGCCCATGCGGGGCAGCGTGTGCTGGGCCGAGTTCTCACTGCAGTCGCAGTGGTGGCAGGCGGGACTCAGTTCCCTCCTAGCGACCGAGTGCAGGTACTTTCCGAAGCAACCGTGCCCGGAAAGCACCTGCGTGGGCCGGAAGGAAAGGGTCCCGTGCTGCCCCCTGCCCACTCGGCGATGACCGGCTGGAGAGCCTCCACGGCGGCGAAGCCAGCGCGTGGAGTCTCCAGCCGGAACGACCATCTGACCATGGTGGCTCGGCGAGCGGCTTCGCGCCACTCGCGCACGTCCTCGGGCGGAGGGCGAAATCCGCTCTCCGCCCGGAAGTCAGCCACTCGCCGATAAACTTCGGCGAGCACTTCCGCCTCCAAATCCCACGGGGGTGTTCCGGCCAAGGCGCAAGCCGCCTCGGTGGACACCGTGCGGTATCCGCGTATGGCTCTGACCGCCAATATCCTCTGGGGGCGCTAGAGGCGCGCCCTATTCGGGGCGGTCAGAGCCGCCACTCACACCATAAAGCGCCATGGACCGGACAACCCCCGCGTACAGCCGCCTCGTGGGAACACTGGCCCCGCCCAAATTGGGCAAAAGTCGCCCTAGGGCGGAGGCAGTGTCCACCAGCTTCGGACCAAGCTGTCGGAAGTGCTCGTCGAAGAGCCACCTACCGTCTAGGACCAGACCCAGGTACCTCATCTGGGCCCGGACCGGTACGAGGACCGAGCCGACCTCGATTGAGGCGCCGGCGGGTGGACCACGACGGGGCCCATGAAATAATAGGGCCTCCGTCTTATCCAGGGCCACCCGTAATCCCAACGCCTCAATGCGCCCGACCACCTGGGAAACTCCCGTGGAACTTGACACAAACCCTATACCAACCCGTCTGGCCAGCGTGGTATAGTAGGCCAAAGCCTCCTTTCTAAGGAGAGACCTATGTGCAGCAGTTGACTAGTAAAGGCTGTTTATGATGATTTTATATAGAAAAAGAAAGGCGAAACAATATTCAAACAAAATGGAAGGAAGAAAGAATAAGAAGAAGATAATGTTATAATTCAAAGATGGGTTGGACTCAACCGATAGTTGATACTAACTCGTACTTTAGCAATTTGTTTATTATTATAACTTATTTTTATTGCATTGTCTCAGTGCAAAGGAGCTTAATAAAATAAAATGGCATATCCAACATACTTAATGCGTTAATGTACCTACATGTTTGTTTTTAATGTTTATAATCCCCCAGGTGCTTTTCTTATTACCATCTGTTTTGAATTACAGAATTTGAATGTGACTAGGATGGATAAGGTAAGGATCATTCCTCCATAAATTGGAGGAATCCTCAAAGTAACGCAAGTGGGTGAAAGTAGAGAAGCAACAGGTTATTCTGGTATAGACAAGTGATGCGAAGAGATAAGCAAAATGTAATGAAGAAAGTTTAATATATCGAAGTTGATGGATATAAGAGTAGAAGACGACTAAAGAATATATAGATGGATAAAACAAACTACGCAGGACAACAGCACTGCAAAGAGAAGGAAAACTTGAAACAAAATCCTATACCAACCCGTCGAGCCAGCATGATATAGTGCAAACCCCTCCTTTCTAAGGGGAGGCCTATGTCCAGCAGCGGACTAGTAAAGACTGATGATAAATAAAATATGAGATACTTATTTTAGAAATATGAAATATCAACATATAAATATTTGCAAATTTAACAACGTTCACATATCAATGCACGTGACTGTACATATTTTGAGAAATCGATTGCAATTTTAATGTAACCCAAAAAATAATTACCACAAACAGTAGAGTAATAAATAAAAAGGTGTAATATTATTTTTTACAGATAAATGTAAGATCTAAATGTCTATTTGAAATTTGATCAAAGTTACGTAACTGAGTGATAATAAGGACGAAACATAGTAAATAATAAAAACTCCATTACATCTCACACACGGCAGTCTGATCCGAAACTAGGCAGAGCCTGTGTTATGGTAACCAGACTGTTGATAAACATACTTATATATTTTTAAATACATACATATTATAGATAGATTACACCCAGGCACAGAACAAATGACTGTGCTCATCACACAATTATTTGTCCTGGGTGGGAATCGAACCCACCACTTCCGGCCTAGCAGTCAGGATCACTAATCACTAGACCAACAGGTCCGTCCATTTGTTAATGACTATACCTTTGAAAAAAGAAATCAATAAATATGACATTAATTGCCGTTCAGGACTATTTGAAGTAGATAGAGGTAGATAATTATAAGTATGGTAGGTAGGTACGAAGGAAACTATCTCCCTTCCCTTAGTTGTGTCTAAAAGTGTGCTAAAAGGAACAAAAAAAATCTTTTATATGTATGTACCGTTATGTATCAGGTCGTAAGGGTACTTAGATCTGGCAGGCGTTTCACACAATTACACAATGTGCCAAAAAATACAGAGTCAAAACGTAATACTTACGAAGTTATTGGCCGTTGGGTGCACGGGATCCACGATTTTGGATTGGCGGCCGAGCAATGTTATGATCCGGCCAGCTGCCTGGATGCCTTTTTGGAAGTTGGGTGCAAAAGCGAATGCCTGTGCTGCTCCAGACGAACCCATGAGTAGTGCTTGAGCAGATCTAAAATTTAATAACTATTATAAAACAAACACTTTCAGAAAAAAAATGCTTGTTTTGGTTTAGTTCACCTTCTTAGCAAGCAAAAAAAGTTTTAATAAAACAAACATGAGAAGATAAGAAAATTTTCTAAAAATAAAACTTACTGGAAAACGACTTGAAACTCAACCTCTTCATTGACAATGAGCGTGCCTCCGTAGTATATAGCAGCAGCCATAACGAAATTAAAGATGCCTCTAGACAAGCCGAATACGAGGCCTCGCAAGTGCGAAGCGCGCTTGGCAAGGTCAAGGGCTGGTTTCAAATTTTTAGCGTATTCGTCGCGGAAGGTGTTTTCTCGGCCAAGCGAGGCTACCGTTCTTACATTGGCTACAGCTTCTACGGCAATCTAAAAGAAAAATATGTGTGTTAAAAAATAAGTTCTAAAATCTCGACAGTGAATTCGCAGCTAGCGACATAAACAAGCGGTAAACGGCGTAATCACGCATTACTAATAGGTTTAGCGGTTAGCACAGTTATTTTTATAATTATTCTGTTTCAGAACAGTCACGCATAGAATGCGGTACTGATGACAACTCTTTGCTTCTGCTCTTCCATTCTACTATGCCCATAGTGTTGTAAACGTATTGGGTTATGCTGATCGCATTATAAACTTTTTAACGCATTATATATTTGGTTAAAATCTGAATCTGAATATGAAATCTATACGATCGTATTCGTCTCAAATACGCAACAATATCTCGACGAATACTTTCATTATGTTAACTAATTTTGATCATTATTTAGCATTTAGAATGACTAATAATGTACTTACTTAAAATATAAAAATATTATTGTCCCGATTATCTCAAAATAGCTACTGAAAGCTTAAGCACCCCAAGGTTGGTTGTATTGTTAATTTAATATTAGGTCCTTACACATGAAATTAGCGTTTTGTCGTACTGACAACTTTGATCTGAAACATTTCCTCTTTGGTCAAGAATTCCAAATTCAAATTTATAAATTCAGTTAGCTGGTACATTTGAGTTTTGAAATCAGTAATTCATTATTTTTTTTCTTTGGCGTCGCTTATTACCGCACAATGGAAAACATGAAATATCGGTATATTTATGAGTAAGAGGTCTATCGTGGCACCAGTGCTGCAGAAACTGCTCGAAGGATTAACGGCGTTAGTGTCGCAAAAGAAAGCACGGTACGTTTTTGGTTTCAACGTTTTCGTTCTAATTCGTTTCGTTAAATTTAGCCCTTCAGAACTAACCCCGTGGTCGGCCGGAGACCAAAGTGGAAAATGAAGAATTAAAGGCTATTGTGGAAGCGGATCCATCGCAAAGCACTTCAGAGATAGTTGCAGGCTTCGGGGTAAGTGGTAAAACTGTATTAATCCACTTGAAGCAAATCGGGAAAGTAAAAAAACTTGAACGATGGGTACCTCATGAATTGAGTGAATCGAACTTACAAACACGCGCCGACTGCTGTGTTACTTTGCTTGACCGACACAATCATGAAGGGATTTTAAATCGAATCATTACTTGTGATGAAAAGTGGATACTGTACGATAATCGGAAGCGGTCGTCGCATTGGCTGAACCCTGGAGACCAACCCAAACCCTGCCCCAAACGAGAATTAACTCCGAAAAAGTTACTTGTGAGTGTTTGATAGATTACCGCCGGTGTCGTTAACTACAGCTTTCTAAAAACTGGCCAAAGAATTACGGTAGATATCTATTGTCAGCAACTGCACACCATGAAGAAAGAGCTAGCTGCTAAACAACCGAGATTGGTCAATCGGTCTATGCCACTGCTGCGTCACGACAACGCAAGACCACACACTGCACAACAAACAACCACTAAGTTAGATGAGCTACAATTTTAATGTCTGCGATATCCACCGTACTCCCCGGACCTTGCTCCAACAGATTACCATTTTTCCGGAACTTGGACAACTTCTTACAAGGAAATAAATTCAACTCCTATGCGGCAGTCCAAACCGCCTTCAAAGACGTTATTGATTCTCGCCCCCATGGTTTTTTTAGTAAAGGGATCAATTAACTACCTATGAGATGGCAAAAGTGCATAGATAACAACGGTGTATACTTTGACTAATTAAATATATTTTACAAAAAAAATTGACTTTATATTCCACCCGTACAAAACGCCAATTTCATATGTATCATATGAAATTAACATCATGACAGAAAATGTCCATGCTAAATGAATCTTAACACACAATATGAATAATGCGTTGGCAAACGGAAATAAAATGTGAAAAACTTACCTTAGAGCTAGCCTCCATACTTTTCGCTGTTTCAGTCGACTCGTAGTAGGTCATTCTTCCTTGTTTGTATAACACCACCATTATTACAGGCACGAAAGATAAAGCGACTAGGCCCACTCGCCATTCATATATCAAAGCCAATACCAAGGCAAACGAAAACGTACCTACTGCTTGTAATACTGTACCGATTCTTTGACCCGTGGCCTGAAATACAAGAAATACGTTATTTAATAGTAAAATAAAAAAAATATAATTGCAATAAAACTTTTCTTTATAAGTATAAAGTCTTTAGGCTGCTTAATAGGCTGTTAATTAAGTACACTTTTAAAAATACTATGTAATCAGTAAATTTTATCAGTGTTAAAGTTATTGATAATATCCAGAAAATCTAAGTAACAATTACACATAATTATATCTATGTACATAGTGAAAAAGCGATCTGTGTGATGACGGATTAAGAATACAGTGTCACCAGCCACGAAACCCAAGGGATGAATCCCGTGGTTTTCGTAAGAGCCAACTAAGGGAGTATAACTTGAAAAAACTTGGTATAGTAGGCCAAAACCAACTTTCTAAGGAGAGGCCTTATGTCCAGCAGTAGACATAAGGCCTCTAGTAAAGTAAAGACTGTTGATGATGGCTGTTTTCATATTTCATATAAACTACTAAGTTGAAACGGCAGTTAACTACCTTAACGCAACTATCATATGGTGTATGGTTTACATATTAGGTTCAAAGAATTACTAATCAGTGATTCTTACCCCTTGTACTGCAGCTGATTCTCCTGACAGTTTGGCGCAAAGTGCTCCAGTGGAGTGACGTTTATCATCAAAGAATGCAATTTCTAGTTGTAATATTTTTTCGAAGAGTAGCTGACGTAGCCTTTCCGTCAAATGTTCACCAGCAATAGCATAGAAGAAAACCTGAAAAATAGGAATATCATCATAAACCAGCATTTACTGAATTGTCACCCGCTGAGTATGCATATAATAAATCCGATATGGCAAAAAACCTGAATAAAGTTTATTAAGATACAATAATTGAACTACTTGCATAATACAGACCTGTTACAATAGGGTACTTACTGTTATAAAGTTCATGACTCCAGAAAAGACGCCAATACCGACAAATATTAATGCGTATCCTCGCACCGTGTCTACAACCGATTCTAGGTTTTCACTTGCCAGATCCTTTAAAAATATAATTAATAAAAATAAATATCGCATTAATGTACTTTTTAAGGGAAATCATGTGTAGACCCTTACAAGTTATCACCTCATTGAAGCTGTCGGTGAAGTGGTATTTTAAATATAACCCTAAAAGAGGCCTTATCTCTTCTGGAGGAAAGAGGTGTGTGCGGGACAGGAGAGTGCTTATTTTCTCTTTATTTTCGTTGCGTGACCACATTTGTCCCTATCACATAAGCGATAAACGAGACAGCAGAATCCGACGCACCCTCATTTTTACCTAGCGAGGAGCTTTCCTGAGCAAAAGTCGTCGAGGGGTCGAATCGCTGCTGCGTCTACGTTCAGCTTTCCAGCAGCGACTTGTTACTGAATAAAATGCAATATCCAATTTACAATAAACCCTAACAGTTATAACCTGTAGTTTATTAGTTTTTTGTTATGTTCAAGTTTTAAAATACGGTTGGTTCAAGTAATTTATTTGGTTTTACGTTGTTATTCTAGGTTCATTCGTGTCAAGCAACCGGCCGTGCCAATGTATTTTTCACCTTGTTGAGTTTTTTTAATGTAATATATAAAATTCTCGTATCATGGTATGCATGGTTGAACTCCTCCGAAACGGCTCGACCGATTTTCGTGAAATTTTGTGTGCATATCGGGTAGGTCTGAGAATCGGCCAACATTTATTTTTCATACCCCCCCTAATTATTATTTTTTGACAAAAAAATTGAAATAATGTATATGGCAAATAACGTTTGCCGGGTCAGCTAGTACGATTACAAAACATTAAAGTACGTCGTCTGTAATCTATTGTATACGAACCTTACAGCACACTGCATTCTGCATTCTGTTTGCGCATTCCAATGTTTGATTAATTCGAGTTTGAAAATATTATTACTACCTACTACGATTAGGAAATAAATTATAGTTTAAAAAACTTTAAAACACGCTTTTGTAACTAGACGAACTAAAAAGTACATAATAATTTTCTATACCTTCAAAAAGAATAATCATTTTATCGTACCAATGCGTAGGGTGATAGATTTCAATTGTTATAAAAATATTTTATTGACAGTTATTGGTAAAAGTAAAGTTATTATATTATAAAATATCTTGAAAGAAACCCCACGAATTTTTACGATAAAATGATTTTTCTTTTTGAAGTTATAGATAATTACTTTTTAGTTCGTTTAGTTACAAAAGCGTATTTTTTGTTTTTTTGAACTATAATTTATTTTTGCTTTTTTGGTCATGATTCATCATGATTATTTTCTCATTAAGACTAAAAAGTAACAAGTAAGTAAGCACGTAGCAAAAGACACTACCGTATTTTTAGGTATGGAAAAAGTTAATCTTGAATCCTGATCAGGATAATAAGCCAAATTTATCAATTTATTGTATTGCTGGTCCTTGATAAGCGTGCGAAGTTTCAATTTAATTCCACGTTTTTGAAGTGGGTCAAAATCACATTCGAAGTTTCCGTTACATACCTACCTACCAAGCTAATTAAATTCGTGTTAAAATACTATACTTCTGTGCCTTTAAGTGTCAGATGTAATACAATAAGTAAAGAAAAAGTAGATATTATACTTACACCTAATAGGTCACCAAATATGACAGCAATAAGCGGCATGGCGAATCCGCTCATCAAGGAGCAAATACTGGCTAGAGTTACCGACTTCCATTCCGGTTTATTCAGCCTAAGCACCTTCCAGAATGACACGTCTGTGTCTTTTTCGTCTTTCTCATCAGCGTCCTGTTTATTGGAATAGTAATTAATATTTTAACATTCCTGATATTATGATTAAGTGCCAATTTTTTTCTTTGACTTATGTTTACCGAAAATACAGAGATATCGTTTTTTTTTTGGCAGAATTTACTATGTGAACAATGCAAATCACATTTCTTTTAGAAATTAACTTAAAGACAGATCTTACTCACACTTGATTTTAGCTCGAGGATTTCTTCATCGTCGATTTCTTGAGCACTTTTCACCGAACTTTCACGAGTAAGTACTTTAGAAGGTTCTGTAAATTACAATTTGGACATTATATTAAAAATCAATTAACACAAATATATCTCGAACGAAAAGATACGCCAATAAAAGGAGGAATTGCTTTTTGAGCTTAGGGAAGAACATTATGAAAACTGATACAATTCTCTTTATCTTATATTATTTTTTATTTATTTTAAACTTAATGCACATGTTGTACAAAGGCGGACTTAATGCCATGGGTCATTCTCTCCCAGTCAACCTTCAGGTCATGTAAAAATATGATGCGTTAGGTGTTAAAATAAAATATTAAATTTAACATAGTTTATAAAAATTTGACTATTAGATAGAAGATAACATTAAATATAACTAATATACATAAATCCACTGCTACATATTACATTTACATGGAAGTCCAGAAGTATACACAATACATACATAATATAAAACACACATATACATAAATTTAATAAAATATACAAATACTCAGTCGGGTACTAGCGTCAGGGTTGTGACTATTCTGCCAATTCATCCCGAAGAAGATCTCCCACTTTTTTCTAGAATGTAGAATGTAAGGTGGTTTGTAGACATCCTGAAATCGGCAGGGAGCCCATTCCAGAGAAGAACTAACGGCACGTAGATAGGAGAATTTAGGAAGTTGAAAGTGTAAGGGGGGGCATAGAAGAAGCATTTTGCTTATAGAACGAAGATTTTGGTCAAGATTGGAGCATAAAAAAAAACGGAAGTGGTGAACGAGGTATTCAGGTAACGATGAAAGAATAAAAGGAATTTTTTTTTCCTCAACTATCCTTGAGAAGTCTAACTTGAGAAGTCAGTTCTTGCAAATTACGGTGCTGACGAATTGGGTATTTATTTATTATTTTATTTATATGAATTGAGTATAATTGGCATTATAACTGGGTCAGATCTTTGTATTCTAAATATACAATTCTGTACGCTTTTATTAATTATTGAATAATCTGATTGGTGAGACTGTTGTCATAGGCCGAACTATAGTAGTCCATTCGTGTTAAGCAAATAGTGACTAATCGTTATCCAAACCCTGCCCCTTGACCAACCCGGTTCCAGACTCAAAATATCTTTCTTCATAAAAAAAAATGTTTGAAATCATCTCCTATGTAGACTCTAAAGTGAAGTGATCAACACGCACAACAACAACAATCTCTGTTTTGACAAAATTTAGCAAGATAAATATATACGTATCGAAAATATATAATATGCCTCGATCTTCAACCGCCCGTTTACCTTATTAAGGCCCGTTGAGCCTTACGAGAAGAAAGGTCAAACCAACTGACGGCCACTCTTTTTTAATTAAGAGATAGATACAAAAGCATCATTGAATATACCACAACATTGTTTCGATATGTGCCAGTATGTCAGTTATTCAGGGTTAAAAAGTAAAAAGCTAATGACGAGAAAACAAGATCAGTAAAGAGAATGAAAAAGAAAGAAAGTGAAGTGAAAGATAAAAAATGGATAACATAAATAAAAAACACATTAGCCAACATCACATTTCTACAACGAAATAGCCTGTGCTAAATTAATCCAAAGCGATCTTGTCTTTTATGTTGTCTATAATTGAGTAATAGAAAGCCTCTGACATAGTTTACCATTTATTTATTTGTGGATTTAAAAATTGCTTTATACTCCAGTCTCGTATACTATTTGGGATTTTATTATAGAATCGAATAAATTAACCTCGAAATCACTTGTTTATCTTTTGGAGCCTAGAGGCAGAAAATCCAAAAATTTAAAGTCAAGTTCACTTTGACCAGAAGGGCAATTCTCTTAATAAAATTCGAAGACAATTTAGTTCCGATCTACTCTCGATCTCACAAATGTCATAAAAGGTATTTTCTTTTTTAACGCAAATGGACGTATCTGACGATAGTGTGCAGCGAGTGTCCTTTTGATTTATAATTATAAAATGTTGGTTAAAGCAATAGGTCGATCCTCTCAAATCGCTAACGATACATTGTTGATCGCCTGTAGTAAAATATCGACCATAATATTATAACGATTCATTATGATTGATTTTTTCGATAGAGGAAGATGTATCCATACATTTACAAACGGTACACAACAATACTCCAAAATAATGAGATCGTCCAGTTAAGATGTTTCGGATATCCAATCAATCACATTTGAGTAAAATAAAAGAGAGAAGTCAATAGCAACTCTTATTTAACCACGTCAAGTCGTGCAAAACCTGACTAGGGGCACGGATCATAATTTGCTAGTCTGTACATTTATTATAGAAACTAAGAAAGAAAAGAGAAAGGTTAAACCAGAACGTATGGATCTCAATAAACTTAAAGATGAGAATTTTAAAGTGCAATATAGTTATAAGTTGAGATACAGTTTAAAAAACTAAAAAGAAAACCTTACAGAATTAGAATATAGTACCTAATATATATATACTATACACTTTGAACAGGTAGAAAGTTATAAATATTTAGGTAGCTGAATAACGCAGGATTCAAGATGTTCCTCGGATTTCAACCGTAAGACACACCAGTTCAAGACCAAAATTAACACAAAAGTAAGAAAACAGCTCATCAAAACATACATATAGAGTATTGCATTATATGACTGTGAACCGTGTACGCTGACTCAAAGAGATAGAGACAAGTTGGCAGAATTTGAAATGCTGGAGGCGGATGATAAACAATTGGATAGAGAATAAAACCAACAAAGAAGCCCTAATAATAGTAAATGAAAAGAGAGCATTATTAAATGTGATTGAAAACAGAACAGAAGGCAAAATAAAGCGAGGAGGACTAGATCAACGTACATACAGCAAGTAAAGGAGAAAGTGTGAAAGAGCGGCGAATAGATGGCAATTGCTTCACTGACCTAGTCCTTAAATTGGAAAAGAGAGAGAGATTCAACTGAATTAAGTAACAAGAAAAAGAAGAAAAATATACAAATTTATCAAACCAAACATGTGTTGTAACCAACAATAAATAATGCACGGAAAAGGTCAGCTTAAAACCAGTTGTGCAACACAATGCGGATCAGAAAGAAGTAAGAGAAGTAAGTCTATTCCGATGGAAGATAGATGCTATTGACGAGAAACATCATAATAAAAATAAAAGTCATTTGCCGAAAATGCCACCAATAAGAACGCAATTGATTAAATAGTCAGATAGTTCAGAGGAGAACCACACTAACGAGCACCTTGGTTTTCTCACCATAGCCGGCATGGTTACGGCACGACGCACGGAAACCCCAAGCTGGGAATACAAAACTTTATCTTAAAATATTTGAATAGCATAAAAGTCTCCCTTTTCTCTTATTACATTTAACTACTGGGTCACCTGCAATTCAAAGAGTTACACCAAACTTCTTCAAGGCTAATTTGGTCGGACCAATAAGTCACAGTGAAACTGGACTTCGCTAAGAATTCCGATGATGGCTGTGTATAGTAATCTCAAAGCGAAGTGATACGACAACCGGTATATTTTTGGCAGCGAAATTGTAAATCTGTGTCTTGGAGGGATTGTCTTATTCATTCAATGTTTAGATTCCTAATCACAGAAAAAGAAATTTGTTCTGTGTTAATTACTTATCTATTGCGCTACTTATTATCTATCTATATAAATAAAAATGAACCCCCAAGTGTGTTGCTTAGCGCAAAACTCGAGAACGGATCGACTGATTTGGGTAACTGTATAAAACTTTGCTCGATATGTTTCGAGTCGGGTCCTCATTGCAAGTGCAGTGGTGACAGACGGGACTCAATTCCCTCCTAGCGACCGAGTGCAGGTACTTGCCAAAGCAGCCGTGCCCGGAAATTACCTGCGTTTGTCGGAAGGAAAGGGTCCTAACCGGCTGGAGTACCTCTACAGCGACAAAGCCAGCACGTGACGACTGCCACTACTCGCTGAGTTCCGCTGTCATCCACCGATATACTTCGACGAGCACTTCCGTCTCCAAAGCCCACGGAGGAGTTCCGGCCAACGCGGAAGCCGCCTCCGTCGAAACGGTGCGGTAACCACGTATGGACTAACCGCCAATATCCTTTGAGGACGCCAAAAGCGTGCCTCATTCTGGGCGGTCAGAGCTGCCGCCCAACCATTGACCGGACAACTCCCGAGTATAGCCGTCTTGTCGCGACCCGTAAGCCCAGTGCCTCGATACGCCTGACTATTGCTCGATATGTCTACGCCAAGGAAGCCAGTGTTGGCTGTGGTAGTTAGGTTAGTGCTCTTAAAGCGAAATGATACGACAATTGTATCTTTTCGGCAGCGAAATTGTAAATCTGTGTTTTTTTGGGAAGATTGGCTTACGCATTCAGTGTTTAGATTCTTAATAATTATAACGAAATAAAATGAAAATTACCTTCTGCTGCCTCATCGCCCATTGTTTGTAACATCACCATGTCATAATAATGTCCTTTTAGCTTCATCAACTCGACGTGGTTACCTTTTTCTACAACTTCACCAGCCTTGAATACGTATATGACATCTACGTTCCTTATTGTGGACAATCTATGAGCCACTACGATCGTAGTACGACCTTCCTGAGCCTGAGGGATTACAGTGCTAATCTTAAGAAATTTATAATATGTTGTGAGAAATTATTAATATCAGAAAAGAAGAACTTGATAACGATTTTCTAAAGGATGTAGGAGTTTGGGCATGTTAGGTAAAATCGTGGAGAATTTCACACTATTGCGCATTTATTTCTTAAGTTTGAACAAGTGCTACTATTTTCAAGTATTTTATTACAAATTGTTTTGAGTTTTGATTGCCATCATTCGATTTGATATTATTTATTAGGAACCACTTATTTACCTTATCCAGCGCTTTCTGTACTTTGTATTCGGAAGACGTGTCAAGGGCACTAGTAGCTTCGTCCAAAAGTAAAATACTGGGGTTTCGCACCAGTGCTCTTGCTATAGCTATACGTTGTTTCTGACCGCCGGACAAAGAGGCACCACGCTCCCCAACCAACGTGTCATAACCCTAAAAAAATTAACACTATGACAGCAAGTGTTCACAAGATTGTTGATGTATGTTTACCAATATTAAAGTAAATGTATCAATTTATTTTCTGTACCTGTGGCAGTTTCATAATAAATTGGTGTGCGTTGGCTTGTCGTGCACAAGCTTCGATCTCTTCATGTGTGGCTTCTTCACGTCCGTAACGAATGTTTTCACGAATAGTGGTATTGAATAGAACTGGTTCTTGGCCCACCAGACCGATTTGCTGACGGAGCCACCGGATTGAAAGGGTCTTAACATCATTGCCGTCGATTGAGACCTATGGTGAGATAAAGGACAATGAAAAGAAATACATACAGCAATTAAATTAAACAGTGAAGAAACCTACCAATTCAAATTATTATCTTGAATTATTTGGAATAATACTACGATAAACAATGATCTACTTCCCAAGAAACTTTTTATTTAAATTTTTGTGATCATTTCACAATGTCCTGAAGATTATTTTTATTATATATATATATTTACTTAATTTATTTTTATTTTAATATTTTGAGATCAAATATTGTTGAAACTTGGGTTTTATATAGTAATTAAAATCATCACTTTTTTATTAATCATTAATTAGTATTTTCCAAGATAGATCACATGATGATTAAGTAGTTACTACTTATAAAAACAGCTATTAAATAAAAGAAAATACAAAACGAAATAGAATAAGTACTAGTTCTAGTAATCGTAATTCCACCAAAATAATTTTCTTGAAAATTGTTGCCAAGCAAGACCATATGTATGGCTTGCACTTTCTAAAAGTTATGTAGAACCAATCTTGATACGAATACGTTTTGAAATCGAACCTTCGGTCGGTGGCTACACAGTTTTTTCTCTTATAGTCATTTTTTTCTAAACTACGGGATAATCGTCGATATTGATAGTCCGCCTTGCTTGTTCGTTATTTACACCGTGATGTGTATGAGTAAATACTCTTTAAGACGACGGTTTTTTGTTTTTAGTGGACAGTTCATGAATTTGCGAAGAACACGCACACACACACACACACACCCCACACACAGAACGTTGCTTTTAAACCGCTTAAGTGTTCTGTAAACGCTTATATATAATTTCCTTTAATGGAAAACTTTTATGCTACTCTTGACGGTTATCAGTGAGGGTCATGATCGTGGCAGTAACTAATAGCAATAATATAAATTTAGTGACCCAGCGAAAATGCGGCTCTAAAAGGCAAAACGTAAAAGTAATTTTGGTGAGAAATTCTTGTGACAAAAATGATAATGATTGATAAAAGATAAACTGCAAGTATAGGTATTCCATAGTACACGAACAATATCAAGTGTCATGTTATATAAGACAATTTTCCAATTGATGCTGAGATTTTGTGATGTCTTATATAAGTATCTTATCTGTAAACGGATAATTCTACAAAATGGATGATAGATAAGTTTATTTTCAATTTGTTTTCTTAAATAATTGTTTTGAATAAAATTAGTTATCATTTTGCACAGATACATAATTCATCTCCAAAAATCTACTTTTGTCGTGGAAGAGCCATGTTTCGGCGGCCTTACACGGCCTTACAGAAAGCCGGTGCTAAGCAGTTCTTCTATTACTTTTCACAAAGTGAGTGACAACACCAGAGCCCAAACCGGCCTCTCCTTAATTGTCAAAATTAAAAAAGGGAAATAGTATCGTCATCATCATCAGCCCACCGCAGTCCACTGCTAGACATACATTTGACATTGACATTTAGGTGCATCGTCTGATTCCCTACGAAACAGATATAACAGAAACACCCAGACGCAATTCCATCCCACAAAACCTATCCTTTCCCATTTCCTATCCCATCCACACCTACTGCGGACACTAAGTGGTTGGTGCCTGCGGCCTCACTATCAACAAAGACTGAGAGTGAGGAGGAGGGGGGGCAACCACCCGCATGTTTGTGCCATGTGCAGGGACCCGTAAGGGAGGATGAAGGGATCCTGGTAGTTGAGCTGAAAGGCAACACACTGCTTTGGCCTGGATTTCTCTTTACACGGGAGGCTGAAGGCTAGCCACCTTTGGTCAATCGGCTGTAGTATCCCGTCAGAGGGCTGCTGGGCGAGAGCCTTCCTTGGTGGGGGTGGACGACGGGTGGGACGACCAAGTCATCCTACCTAGTTCGGCCTGCCTTCTGTCAGGGAGGGAGCTCTATATTTCCTTGTCACTTCTGGCGTCGTGTGCCTTCTGCCGCGGCGTCCCCACTTGAGGGCTCCAAGGAGGGTGGAAGGACAAGAAGATGAATAGTATACCTAACACACTATGGATCCTAAAAAAACCAATTTAAAAAAAACCACCGGCCGGTACCGAGGGTGAACAACCCAAGTGCCAGGCTAAACAACCAATCGGCTGACCCCAGGGTGAACAACCCAAGGGTGAACCCGACAAATACACCTTTGGCTGCTGCTCAGGCTAACAACCCGACCGCAGCGCCATCCACGACTCTGGCGACACCTCTGGTGTCTAACCAGAATACGGAGCCAGTGTCGACCATCGACCTCTCCTCTTTGAGGGCAGCAATGCCCGTACCTGCGGGACCCGGCCTGGAAGAAACCGGCTGGAGCCTGGTAAGGACAAAGAAGAGAGCGTCGAAAAAACCAAACCCGTCCAAGAAGACCCGCAACGCCAACAGGGCGAAAGCCCGAGTGGAAAGGCAAGCACGGTGTCTGACCTCGGGTGGAAGTAAGCGGCTAGAAGTCGCTGAAGGGCCCGAAGGGGCCCACGTTGCCCCCGCCAGTGACGTGCTGCCCCGAGGCGAAGACGAAAGTCAAGCCACGGGGAAGTGTACTCCTGTGGGGGCGCCACCTGCCAAGACGCCTGTAGCGGCCAAAGTACCCTCTAGGCAGCGTCAACCTGGACAGGGTAAACGGGCGAGACGAGCGACACGTGGAGGGAAACCTTCAAGTGAAACAAAGCCCGTCAAAAGAACTCGCCCGGACAAGTCTCGCACTCCCCAGGGTAGTGGCAAGCGATTCAAACCGCTGCCAAAGACCGGCTCCACGAGCTACTCCGACGCACTAAAGGCGAATGACCTTTGCGTCGCGGTCATGCTGGAGCCCTACCACGACCTCACCAAGGCACAGGCAGAGGACATCGAGGGCCAGCTGCAGGGCGTGCTAGATGAGGAGATTTTCTCGCCCGGCACGTCAAGCGCACCCGTCGCTGCGCCACAGTTTAGGGGAAAGGCCTTCTACAGTGAGGGCGCCCTTAAGATGTGGTGCAACGACGAATATGCCCTACAGTGGCTTCGCCGATCCCTGGTAAGGATCCCATCACCACGTGAAGGCACCAAACTGGTCGTCAGGAGGCAGTCTGAGATCCCGAAAAGGATCAAGGCTGGACTCCTGGTACCACAAATCGGACCAGATGATACACTGGTCCGTATACAAACAAGGCTAAAGTACCAGAATAGCCAGTACAATGTGGCCAACTGGGCCCTCTACCATGCCGAGGCGCAGGAGGAAAAGAAATGTCTCTTCCTAGTGCTCGGCATCCCAGAAGAGGACGTCGTGAAGCTCAAGGCTAGCGAGCGTAGAGTATACTACAAACTAGGTAACCTCTACGTTCGCTTCCTTGATGAACGTCCCGCCCCACCAACTAACCCAGACGAGGAGCCAGAATCGGCCCCACAACACCCTAAGGACGGCAATGGAGGGGATCCTCTGATACCCGTTGAGGAGACAGCCTGCCGGGGTCCACCTCCTGAGGAGTTGGAGGACCTACCGGTGGGCGAGAGTGACCTCGACGACATAGAGGATATGCTGAACAGCGATGATGGCGCTGTCTGCACCCCCCCATAACACCCTTATAGCCATACAAACCAACCTCCAGCACAGCCATACAGCAACGGCTAACCTCCACAGAGAGCTGGAGGTAAAAACCAACACCGTAGCCCTAATCCAGGAGCCGTGGATTAGGAAGGGCAGGATCTGCGGTCTAAACAATATTGGAGGTAAGATACTTCTCAACACTACCATTGATAACCCGCGCACTTGTATTTATACACCAAAACATGCGTGTACTACCTTAATGACCGATTTCTGTTCCAGAGACCTTACCTCTATTAGGTTAAAGGAACCCTCATCAAACCTGCCTGACGTGGTGATAGCATCAGCCTACTTGCCGGGCGATGCTGACATCCCCACTCCGGAGCTGGCTGCGCTGGCACACCACTGCGAGCGCGAGGGTCTGGAGCTGATCATCTCTGCTGACACCAACGCGCACCATGCGCTGTGGGGCAGCAGGAGCAACAACCAGAGAGGTGAGGAATTTGTATCGTTCCTATTATCAACTAACCTTAACATTATCAACGTGGGCTCGGAGCCGACATTTGTCACATCCAGGGCCCAAACTATAATTGATCTTACATTAGCAAGTGAGCACGCATCGCAACACATATCGAATTGGCATGTTTCGAACGAAGCATCGTGCTCAGACCATCGCTGGATCAAATTTAACTTTGAAATGAAACTTAAACTACCCGATGCCCGACGGAATCCCCGCACGATGTACCGGAAACGGTATGAACATCTTACTGCGGAGAATCTGCGAAGCATCAACCCAACATACGCTACGGGGACTGTAAAAGACATTGACAGTCATGTCGTCAACCTTACACAGACACTGATCGATTGCTTTGAATAAACATGCCCACTTTCCACACCCAGAACTGGACCACAAAACAAACACCAATGGTGGGGTCCGGAACTGGAAAGACTACGTCGTAGAGTGAGAAAGTTGTTCAATAAAGCAGAAAACTCGCGATTAGACCAACATTGGGATGCCTACACGCAGGCCCGACAACAATATAAGAAGAGAATCAGAACCAGGAAAACTGAGTGCTGGAGAAACTTCTGTACTAACATAGAGAACAACAATCAGGCTAATAGAGTCAAAAGCATACTGTGTAGTAGAGGCGAACACAATCTTGGCTCCCTGAAGAAGCCTGATGGTGAGTATACCGAAACAGACTCGGAAGCCTCAGAGCTGCTATTAAAAACACACTTCCCTGGATGTCGCATATCAGATGCGATGTAAAAATGGGAAGACAGATGGGAAAAACCACCAGATGATACAGACTGGGATACGGCCCGCAAAGTTGTCAACCATGACAAACTAAGATGGGCAATTGACAGCTTCCTACCATTCAAGGCGCCAGGACTAGATGGTGTCTTCCCAGGCCTACTGAGATGGTGTGATATGACACTACTGGACCATCTTGTAAAAATCTATAGGGGCTGCCTGGCGCATCAGTACATCCCCTTGAAATGGAGAGAAGTTGAAGTAGTCTTCATCCCCAAACCTGGTAAAGGCGACTACACACAACCCAAATCACACCGACCTATTAGTCTCACATCTTTCCTACTAAAGGTTCTCGAGAGGCTAATAGATAGGGAAATCAGGGAAACTGCGTTAGTCAGTCACCCTCTACACCTCAATCAACACGCATACTCGATGGGTAAATCAACAGAATCTGCCCTACATCGAGTTGTTTCATATATAGAAGACAATCTAAATCACAAAAGGTCAACACTGGCCACCTTTATCGATATCGAGGGAGCCTTTGACAAGACCAACTTCACCAGCATTAGCCAAGCTCTGTCTAGGCATGGTGTTGATTCCACAATCTCAGGGTGGATCGACAGCATGCTAAGATATAGAGCTATACAATTCACTGTGAGCGAAGTGACTAGAGGAGTGGTGGCTAGAGGCTGCCCCCAGGGCGGTGTACTCTCCCCCTTCTATGGAATATTGTTGTGGATGAGCTCATCACACAACTTAATGACCAAAGATTCCTCACAATAGGCTATGCAGACGATCTTACTATTCTCATCAGCGGTCCTTTTGAGAGCATTACATGCGATCAAATGAGACTTGCACTGAAGATCGTGGAACAATGGTGCGTAGCACACAACCTGACAGTGAACCCATCCAAAACAGAGATGATCATGTTCACAAACAAACGCAGCCTAGGAAATCTCAGACTTCCCAAGCTATTTGGAACACAACTTACTCTTACCAAAGAGGTCAAATACCTAGGAGTAATACTGGACAGTAAACTCCTGTGGAACAAGCACCTCGATGAAAAACTGAATAAAGCCTCCATTATTTTATGCCGATGCAAGCGGCTACTCGGCAAAAGCTGGGGACTATCACCCAAAATTACTTTATGGCTATACAGAACAGTCATAAGACCAATAATCACTTACGGTGTTGTTGTCTGGTGGCAGAGAACAGAGCTAAGCACCGTCATAAACAAACTGCAGCAATTCCAGCGACTCCCATGCTCCGCGGTCACTGGCTGTATGCACACAACGCCTACTGCCGCACTAGAGGTGGCTCTTGGTCTGCCACCCCTGGATCTATTCATACAGCAGGAGGCCGCCATGGCGATCATTAGACTCAAACACCTGGGTCTATGGCACAAACGTGGGGGATCGCACTCTAAATTATGGGGTCAATTGGTGGAATACGAACCACTGATAGCAGCGCCATGCGATAGAATCCCAAAACACCATATCTTCACAAGAAGATACTACATCAAGATACATGGAAATGACCGAGATCAATCCGGCATTAACGAAGTCCGAATTTACACGGACGGTTCCAAGACTAGGTCAGGAACTGGAGCCGGAGTTTTCTCGCAAGACCTAAACATAAACATATCACTAGCGTTAGGCCAACACAGTTCCATATTTCAATGTGAATGTGTGGCAAAAACCTACGCTGCCACAACGGCCATGTCAAGGGGTATTAAGGACTACAACATCCGAATAATATCCGACAGCATGGCCGTCTTAAAGGCATTGGAGGGCAACACAATGACCTCTGGTGTTGTCTTCGAATGCCACCAAGCACTGGAACAGCTCGCTATATTCAATGGGGTAATCCTCCAATGGATTAAAGGGCACAGTAACTCACACGGGAACGATGCCGCAGATGAGTTGGCAAGGAGGGGCTCGGCAACCCCAACCTCTGGCCCAACCCCACTCCTGCCCATATCGTTTAACCAAATACGATGCTGGGTCAGGCAACGGACCTGTGAAGCACACAACCGGAGGTGGAAAAACTCACCCGGCTGCAGACAGTCCAAACTGGTGCTGAATCAAGTCAAACCACGACTCACCTGCAGACTGATCAGTCTTAGCAGACCGGAAATCAGAACGGTTGTCGGAACTATTACAGGACATCTAGCCCTGAACCGACAACTATTCATAATCAATGCGACGGACAGTCCCCTGTGCAGGGGATGTCTGGAAGCTGAAGAAACGGCCGTCCACGTAGTCCTGGAATGCGAGGGAGTGGCCACACAACGGGCAAGTATCATTCCTGATACAAAGTCGCTCCTAGAAGCCTGTGAACGCCCCAGGAGGCTTCTGCGCTTCTGGAAGGAGCTTGGCTGGCTCACCTAGTCAACCAATCCTCGACGCATAAAGGACCACTCTGAGTCTAAATGCGGAAACCGAAGCCCACAACCAATACCAATACCAATACCAATGTCCAGCAGTGGACTAGTATAGGCTGTTGATGTGTGATTTGAGTGTAACATATAAAAACAAATTCCATTTTATTTCATATTAGAAATGTTGATTTCCCTATTTGTTATCAGATCTTATTAGACCAATAGGGATGTATTGACCTTATCAAACCAATGCACGTGTCAATCGCTTAAAAAAAAAAGTCCTTTTAACTATGTTTTTTATAAAATGTCAAGTTTTACAAATGACAGCTACTTAATGATGTCAAAATTTATTTACTACTCTTTATAAAGGTTTGCGATTGGAGTGTTTTTTTTTAGTTTTTTTTTATTATTTAGTATTCTATTGTCATTGATTTTGACTTGATAAAAACATCGTAAAAAATTACGTTACATAGTTTGATAGAAATGGGAAATCATGTACAATACTTACTGATCCTTTAATCACGTCGTAGAACCGAGATATGAGTTGAATTATTGTTGACTTGCCGCATCCGGAGTGACCAACCAGTGCTACTGATTGACCACGTTTGACGCTTATATTGACGCCTTTTAATATCTGCAAAAGAATATAAATTAGACCCGAAGACCATAAATTAATTAAATGGCTTATTGCTATTCGGAGGTATGTAACAGAGCAGAGATAAAACGTAACAGTCGGGCGTCATGTCATTTTAATATATGTACTAGATTTAAATTATACAATAATTAATTTACAAAGAACAACCTCAAACACAAGTTTAACTAAAGTATCAATCAAAAGAAAATCCATACCTGCTTGTATGTTGTAGAGATATCATTCTGCATATTATTCCTCTATCTATAATAATTTATCTATGACTTCTTTTTACAATCAAATGAACTTTATACCAGCAATGAAAAGTGTTATTCCATGTTTGTTTAGTTAATTTAGCCATATTTTTATACACAGTTCTTTGGATTACGGTATCCACTACATTTTGTTACATTAGACAGCAATTAATTTACTGTTCCACTTTAAATAGGTATCTATAATATTAAATTAAGCAGCATAGCAGCATAAAAAGTGTTTTAAGAATATTGTAAGATCCCTAATCTCATCCCCATGATAACATTTCACATCATGTTATACACGTGTAAAATGACAATGAAGCCTAAAATAAACCAGTGCCTATGCCAATACTGTATATATAGTATGCCCGTTCATTTGACACAGTAACATACTACTGTGATAATTGATTTGTAATTTTTACTCGTTTTATAAGTGATTATAAATTTTTATGTTACAAACGTGCATGATAGGCGCGATAAACGTGGATTCAGACATTACGATTTGCAACTCACGTTTTGATATAAATTTGCCTCGAGTGAAAATAAAACCAGCGCATGCACAGGTCGACTGACGCACGCTAGGGTCGATCAAACCGCGGGCGAAGCACTTGCCTCGCGTACTTTCTATTGTGGCGAGGCATATGCTACACACGAGGCGAGCCAACGAATCAAATCACCTTTTTCTTTTCTTTCAATAATTGAATGAATTATTTTAAAAGTGTGAATGAATTATTATATATATTTATGAAAGAAAAGTTTTTTTTAAAATTAGTATTATGAAAGAGCAGCTATGTATACGCAATGCGGTGGTGCCATTATGATTGCAGTATAGCTGGATGGATCCTAGCATGCGCAATGACTCAAATAGGTTAATTTTTTCAGCCGAGGAATGCGTTGCGCGTCGTGCGCGACACATGCCGCGCTTTGATCGTGGAGCGTATGCCGACGTTGTTCACTGCACATGCCTCGCAATGTGTGTTTCCGCCTTAAGTTGGACGACGATAGTATGGTTTATATAATAGTATACAAATTTATTGAGTTGCCTTTATGATGATATCCATCCAGTGTCCATTATTCTGTGCGCGTATTGAAATCACATATTGAGAGTCTTCATTTCTAGATATATTTATAAATAAAACTATTTAGAAAACACCTATATGTCAGCATATTTTTATGTGATAATGACGGTCACGTACATATGATATTAGTAATCCATAAAAAATAATTAGAATTTATTGATAAGATGTTTCTTATCAATAAATTCTAATTTATTTATTGAGTTGTAGTCATTGACGCGCAAGTCAAAAGAATAAATATTGTTTACTTTAACTATTAAGCTGTGTCACAAATTTCGCTCTATAGGACGATTAATAAATAAACTAGGATAATTCCAATTGAAGTGGGTTTACATCCTTGCGTCATTATACCCGTTGCCTCATAATTGTATGATCCTGGCTTCTACGTAGGCTCTTACTAAACTTATTTTTCGTCTAGACAGAAAAAAAAAACAAAAAACACAAAATGGCACATGTGGCATGGTTTTTGGCATGGTTTTATATGTGAAATGGTTGTTGTAAGTTAACTGGTATTGTTGTCGGTTATGTACTTCTAGTTTTATGAAACTTAAACTACAAGACAAAAATAAAGTAGTTAATTCTATTTCAAAATTCTCTCATTTAATTTGTATGATGAGTACTCAAATCTCAAAAGAGATAAGACGTACCAATCCTAAACTGGCTTAAGTTACCAAAAAAACAAGAGATTGTTGCTATTGTGTGTGTGTGTTGATTTATGACTTTAGAGTCTACATAAGAGATGATTTCAAACAATTTAATAGTAAATATAGTTTGAGTTTGAATAATCTTAATTTTGCATCAAGATTTCAAGAACTTAAGAGCGAAATGTATTTTTTTATTTTTTTAGTAGCTGTTCTCAGTTGCAATGTTCACATTTGTAAGTTTTAAAATAAAATAATATAATCTTACCGGCACATCTGGTCTTGAAGGATAGTGAAAAACGACGTTCCGCAGTTCAATGTTTCCTTCAACAGTCCTTGGTTTTATTCCGTTATCAAGAAGGGGATTGATAGTTGGAACGTTGTCAATCATGTTAAAGATTTGTGCGCCTGCACCTCGAGCCGAGCCGAACACATCCATAAGCGTCGATGATATACCGAAGTTTGCAGATCCAGTCATTACGCCAAAGAAAACCTGTTACAATTTTTATAAGCGGTGATGTTGTGTTGTAATGTGGACTAAAGCTTAAAATAGGGAGTGCATGCAGAATTTTTAATCACTTTGAAACACCCGATCGATCTATTCCATCGATAAGGAACTCTGAACTCTGGACTTTGAGGGACTTTACAAACAATAACGAGACGGACACAAAGAACACCCAGGCTCAGAACAACAATTCGTGGATCACACAAAATGTAGTCTCATGTGGGGATCGAACTCACACAACTAAACGAAGTAGAAAGCGGTGAGGAGATCGCCTAAACCACTACGCCATCCATGCAGTGTAGTCAATATAATATCGGTATTTGTGTGCCAACAGAATTGTGTTGCCAAATCGCGATGGAAATGAAAAAAGCACTGGTGTTAAATGTAATACAGGTATCATAGAAGTTAAGAAATCAAAGCCCTTGATGACATAACTCGCTATTTCAAGTCCATCAATCGAAAAATGTTCGAGCTTTGTTATTTGTTGTTTTGTGTTTTGTTTTTCCTCATAGCTACGCTTCGATTTTTCAAATCGTTTAATTCTTTGTTCGTGTAATGTCATGTGAAAGTATGACGTCTTTAAAGCTGATGTAACCAATCAATTATTTTTGTAAATAACTTGATAACAAACATTTCATGTTATTTTTGCTATCACGATTCATTCGTACTAGCCTAATAGATGTAGGCCACTTTGCATTCACCGTAAAGACCAGTAAGAAAAAAATGTGGAAGAGTTACATATGTTTACGTTCTGTTTCCCTACAGGAAAATGGGAGCCTTTAAATTTCAAGATGAAATTGTCTTTAGACCGTTTTTCGTCTGTTTGTTAGGTTGTATGTTTTCTGTATATCTGAATCTTTTCCTCTAGAATGGAGAGTTGAAATATTTAAATTAGAATTGTAAAAAAACACTTGCAATTAGGTGACCCTCGGCTTGTTCAGCCCTTATACCAGAAAAAAATATGTTCTTAATATATGCGGTAGCCTTATATATTTAATTATTAATTAAAATTATTACTATTGCACGTGCTCCTCTGTTCAACTACAATATATCTACTTATTTTTGACTTTTAGTATTTTACTAATGGAAATAATTTAAGTCATGAGTAAGTTCTTAAAATATCTTAACTGTACAAGATTACAATATTAACGTCAATACAAATAACGTTGTCATCTTATTAGGTACCTCAATGCGATATTAATGACTCAATGAGCTTAATAAAATAATATATACGAATATACATTTTTCTGATGGTAAAATATCATCGATGCTCACACCTGCAATGCCAGGAGTGTCAAATATGTGACAGCTAGCGTCAGTAAGAAATTAGTTGCGTTGTCTAACAATAGGTTGTAAAACTAAAAGTATAAAAGTTATGGCACAGCAGAAAGGGAAAAAGAACTACGGATATATAAACAGGCGAACACGAAACTGTGTCAGTCAAACCATTTCATATGCATTTCATATGTTTTTTGCCCAAATTATCAATATCGATTTCGATTTGGGCGAAAGACTATTAATAGAAAGTGGGTGCAACACAGTAATTTCTTTGGTTGGCAACGCACGAGTGAGATCAATAGTTTTAGTAGTGAACTACACTCAGGTCAGCTGCGTGCTTGTAGTGTTTTTTCAATTAAATTAAAAGATTGTAGTTCAATTCTATCAATTTAGATTACACTTTATTTGTATACTTGTTAACAATAATTGTTTTTTGACGAGTGGTTTCACGTCGGTAGTGTACAGATTTAACGTGCAAGCCTTGTGTTAGTTTACAACCTTCATTCATTATCATCATCATCAAGAGTCTTTAATAGCCCACTGCTGGACACAGGCTTCTACTTAGAAAGGTTTTGTCCTACTATACCAATCTCACCAACATACAAACATTATATTTGCAAAATGGTGCATTTGAAAGAAAGTAAATGATACATCGCAGTCCGTAAGGACCCATCAGAGGTCCTTATGGGGTTTAGTACTAATAATTTGTGCCAACTTAGTTGATAAATTCGGACGTGCACTGTTTTACGCAACTGTTTTCAGTTACATCAACAATATTGGTCTAAGCGGCAACTTATTGGAGCTTTTAAACTTAGTGCACTGTATTCCTTGTAAGTGATAGGACATCAGCAAGATTTAGATTCCCGTGAACATTCAGTTCGTGTTACGCTATATGCGACCCTGACCTGCTGAAGATATTGCTCACATTTCATAAACCATCCGCATAATAAATATTCCTTACCTACCATTGTTGTTCCTTATTATCTACCACTTCTTAATGGGAGTACCCATTTTTCCCATCTAGCCCCTAACTACCTGGCAATAGACTTGCCTCCTGTTACTTCAGTGGGTTGTGTAAGGCCTATGAGGGCAAACGAGCAGATAGACCAACTGGAGGAGGAGTGGTTTTATCTCCGAATAAATCACTTACTTCGTGTGAAGCAACGAAAGAATTGATTAATACCTGTTAAGCCGAGCATTTTAATATTCCTTTGCCAACCAATGATCGGATACAGGCGTGAGTGTATGTATGTTTGTCAATTGTAATTGCAAAGCTTTACTTAAATTGATCTAGTTAGAAATTCAAACTGTAACTCACAGCCATCATAGTGAACACGTCGTAATTTTCCGGCTGCTCTATCATCAACTGGAAGCCAAACCATACAGACAATCCATAGGCAGAGAAGATACAAAAGAACAGCAGGCCCATTGCCAAACCGCTAAAAAAACCTGCAAAATACAAACAATAACTATTCTAGTTCAGATAAGGAACATCATTAATATCATCATCATCAACAGCCTTTAATAGTCTACTGCTGGAAATAGGCCTCTCCTAAGAAAGGAGGCTTTGGCCTAGTACACCACGCTGGCCAGATGTTTAGGTATAAAAAATTTTCAAGTTATTATTGCAGTACTGTAGTCATGCATAGTTTACTCTCTTAATCGGTTCTTACAAAACCCAGGGGATGAACAGGGGTGGTGAGACTTCGTATTCTTAACACATAAACATAAACATTATTAATAAATAACTTATAATTACGCAACTACAGACTGACGGGACTAACCTATATTGTAAAAGAATAATAATACTCATAATTTGTCTTTTGTTTATCTACAATAGAATTAACTTATTCAAATACTAATAATCCAAACATCATCATCATCATAACTACAGCCTTTAATAGTCCACTGCTGGACATAGGCCTCTCCTTAGAAAGGAGGTTTTGGCCTACTTTACCACGGTGGCCAGACTGGTTAGCATAGGGTTTGTGTCAAGTTTTTTTTCTCTTCGCAGTGCTGTTGTCCTGCAGAGTTTGCTCCCTTAGTCGGCTCTTACGACACCTACGGGATGAATGGGCATGGTGACAATCCATATTCTTAATTCGTCACCACACGGACATGAAATAATATAAATACAAACATATTAATACATATTATTTTACAATAGTATTATACCTATGTATATCAGTAAAACTTGTCCGTACTTGTTGTAAGTAGGGCTATGAACAAGGTTTTTACATATTTTGTAATAATAAAATAGTTATAAAACATATTGAAACCGAAGAAACCACATTTGTATCGTTATAACACGTGTCAAATTATAGATATTCAGTTCATACATCATATAATCAAATTTTAAGGTTATTAGACTATCATAATTCAAATTAGGCATTTCGTGGGTTTAAGCGGGTTTTTTTGCAATATCTGTGAAACAATAAAATACCTTTCTTAATATTAATTTTCCTGGCCTCCTCAAGATGTACTGCATATCTTTCATACTCCTTTCTCTGACCGCTGAATGCGTACACGGTACGTATAGCCGATATAACTTCTTCTGCAATAGTGCCAGCTTTTCCTGATGCTACAGCTTCCTTCTTAGAATATTTCGAAGCAATCTAGTAAACGAGAAGATCATTTATTATTCTTTTTTAAGCAAATTCGAGAACTTAATTACTTAATTCAATTCAATAACGACATACGTTGAATGACTGACTGTATGCTTAAGGATTAAAACGGAAGATAAATTGAATTGTTATAAGATAAATCGACAGATTTGATAATAATAACCTACAAGATTAATATAGACAGAGCGTGTACTATGGTAACCAGACTACTGATAAACAACTTAGTACTATATTTCTAAATACATACACATTATAGATAAATTACACCCATCCACAGCATAAATAACCGTGCTAATCATATAATTATTTGTGTTGGATGGGAATCGAGCTCACGACCCTGACTGCTAAGCCAGAGGGCTTAGCAGTCAGGGTCACTAACCACTAGACCAACAGGCCCGTCAGAAACATAACTTTCTAATGGCTCCAGTACACTTGTGCCAACTCCGGCGAAGCTCCACAATACGCCAAATAAAGGCCGACAACGCGTACGTGTTTGGTGCATTGCAGCACATTGGTGAATAGCTCATTATTGCCTGGAGCGCCATTTACGATGGGCGTGCAATGAGTGTATTTTAGCCAAAAGTCCGCGCACGTATACAAAATACCCCGTGTACACATTGGCATCGGCTTGACTTCACCCGAGTCTGTCCAACGTATGCTCGGGCCATAAAAGTAGTACCAATAGCCTGACTTAAATATAAAACAGGATATTGCAGCAATTTTTAACTGAATAAGTACGTAAGTCTTACCAGACCGGCAACTCCTACAAGAACCATAGTTATGGGGAAGGATATGAGGCAAAGCAAGGCCAGTTGCCAACCCAAAATCAAGGCCATGATCACACAACTCAAGAACGACGCCTGGTAGAAAATAAATGTTGCCAGCTTCTCTCCAATTCCATCTTCTAGTTTATAAACATCACTGTAATAAACTCACTCGTTACTTACACGTTACAATCCAGTGAATTATTAAACTAACGTTATCATAATTATGATTGCTTACCTGTTCACTTTAGATGCTATGTCTGTTGTTTTATGGACATCAAAATATGCGAAATCTTGATTAAGTGTTGCTTTTAAGTACTCTTGACGTATAATGAAAGCCTAAAATATACAAAGACTATTAAATTTTATACCGCATGTCACGAATAAAGCAAAGTAAAGGTTTTATCAGGAATGGAAAAGCAAGTAGTTACTTTATTGCTATTCTTGGCAATACCTTTTCATATCTCCTGGTACAACTATGCTAGATTAATGCCCGGTTTCTGAGGAACTTTTAACGGCAGTTTATCTATTCATTAGCGCTATTGGTTCGATAACCTAAGAAAGTGCGTTTCTGAACATCGCAATGTAAGATAAACTCCGTTTAAACTTAGGTTAACTTAACTGACCAATGTGTGCCGTTTATCGATTTCATAACTTTATTTGACGTTTTGCTTCAAGCAAATTACATAAACTTTTAGGTTATAACTGTTATTATTAAATTGTCAGTGAAAACTTAATATTAAAATTAACGTAATGAATACGAGCAGCTCATCAGAGTCTGATTTGGAAGTATTGGAGTTTATTTCTAATATTTCAGTACCTAGAAACTTAAGACGTAGGAGAAATCCTTTCGAAATGTTTACGGATGAAGAATTTAAATTAAGGAATTTAAATTTTAATTATTATTATCATATAAGGCATGCAACTGCTTTTCAGTCCTAACGCCAGTTTCTGAGACAGCATTATATTTATTTGTCAGCGCCATCCAAGCTTGTTTCTTTGCCTCCACAGAAGTTCCATTCGTCTTTTTATTGTCGATTATAGACACAAATTCTTTGGCTACTTCGATAAGAAGCATCTTCTCTCTCTCAGTAAAATTTTTACTACGTTTTCCAGATTCCATTATAGTTATTTTTTATAAGAAAAGATAAAGCTCAAACGATAGCAAAGACCACGGTGAAAGCAAAGAAAAATAATACCACGATGAAACTCGACGAAACTTTTTTTTGACGTCAATGAGTTTGACGTTCATTTAAAAAAAAAATGACTACGATGTCGTTCATTCATCCGCTGATAAATAGCGAATTTTAATAATTTATAACTAAAACAATGCTTGTTTACTTATTTACCCTTGAATAAAATATTCTCGTAAATAAAGCTAGTAATAATCCTGAATTAAAATAATAAAACCAATTTTAAACTTGATCTCTTAAACAGACCCATCTAACGGCAGATTATGGAACTGCTTATCTGTTTGATAGTTATTGAACGGTTCATTGCGTGTTCAGAAACGCAGTGACAGTTAACCGACGTTTATCCTATACATAACTTTATTGTACCAATAGCTAATGAGAGTATAACTGGGAACTTCAGAAACCGGGCATAACTCATCCATACTTATATCATTGCCTAATGTCAAAGTGAGATTATTTGTTAGCTTTTACGCCTAAATCACTAAACTGAGTTTAAAAAATCTTTCATTAATGATAAGCTACATTATCAGAGAGTAACAAAGGCTACTTTTTAGGCAATAACCGACATACACACGTGCGGAGCCGCGGGCCATAGCTCATAATATCATAAATGTGAAAATTTAGATTCTGGAATGGAAGTTTGTTACTGAATCACACCAGAACTGCTTAACGGAATTAAATGAAATTTAGTACCATGATAGATTATAGTCATGGAACAGTCAAAGAAAAAAATATTTCACCACAAGCGAAGCTGCAAGTAAAAGCTAGTGTTTGATATAAATATGAAATTATTTTAAACAACTGTTTATTATTACATTATATGATTGTTGTTTAGTCTAGCATCTTTAGATATATATTATCTGTAGTAGATATATATTAAGTTTATAATTACCTGATTATATGCAGCCATGTTCATTAGCGTTGTAGAAATATACGTCAATATTACAAGTGCCGCTCCCAGAATACTGTTGTAAACGGCAAACCAGTATACTGAATTGATGAAAGAATCCCAATCAGGCGCTCCAGTAGCTAAAGATATTCCTAGATCGACCATAGCTTGTAATAGTTGAGCCAATATGAAAGTGTTAAGTGGTGTTGAACTTGCCGCAACTACTGAGAGTATAAGTGCTACTACTATGAAGAAGACGTCCAGTTTCGTAGCAAATCTAAACTGTAAAAATACTTTGATTAAATAATTTAATGGATTACCACCAGTACATCTGAGTTTATTTCAAGAATCTTTCTTCCTCAAAATTTGCAGATTAAGCTAAAGAAAGACGTGTGTTACGCTATCTACATTTCTGGTAGAAATCCAAGTCTGCTTGTACTTCCGTCCACTAACCTTTATTGGAATACAACCTTTAAATAGAAGCAGATTGCAGTGAAAAATTAAAATTTTAAAATTTTATTAATTTTGTGGTTGGTACAAAATTGTCTAATGGCCATAGATATGAAAAGTAAAAGAACACTAAAGCAGAGTTTCCAACACTATTATCTAAGCTGTAGCTCCTTTTGAACTAATTCTCTTGACTCAAGTACGCTTCAAAATTCGAAAACTAAAACAATAACGTTTTTAACGGCTTTAGACGGCATGCGGTTAAATAAGCAGAGAAAGAACTGTAAAAATTTACGGATTTATAAGCTGTAATCTCTATATCTTTAGGGTTACATGCTTAAACATGTTATTGCTCTTATCCTGCATTGATATAGGGTTTATATACATTTACTATTCTCAGTAACAAAGTAACCTTTCAAGTGCTTTTATGATGTCATTACGTCATGAGTAATAAGTATATGGGTAATAAGTAAAAAGTCAAATATTACACAAGGGCTTTCTACAAGCATTAAAAATTAAAAGGTTATATACATACCAGTGATGAAAGGAATGTCAAATTTTAGGTATTCACGAATGTGACTAACTGGTCTAGAATAACTGGTGAAAATTAGAGGGAATAGTGGTTTAACATTTATGGATTTATTCAAAGGCGGCCATCACTATCTCGAGGACTGTTTCAGACAGGTTACACGGTACACTTGTCTTTTTACTGATCCGTAAAGCACCTTTCGGTGTAATGTTAACATTTTAACAAACGCTTGTTTTGTGTATAGAAAACACGGTTATCATACCGACCATCATAACCGGGGTTTTGAAAAGAAACTTATAGAGATTTATAGTCATCGGTGCCGATTTACACGCGCTAAACTAGCATTTTTTGTCATTCATAGCCAACTACTAAGGCAACAGTGGTCTAACTAAAATCCAAAGAAGCTCCCTATGGTAAAATTAGAATGACCGATCAGAGAAAGCCCGCTGCCTCAAATCTCTGTCAGATTTCATGATAGGCAATTACACAGAATGGTTATCACAGAATGGTATCCGATACATGACTGCAAGCGTACCGCTACACCCGGTAATAGTTTAGTTATTTCTTTTAGTCGCTTTTCTTTAAGGTTAGTCGATGGAATGGTGTGGTAGTTGTAATAGTTTTATATCTGATAACTTATAAGTTTCTCAATTCGACTGTTAGAATATTTTGTACATGAAATAAATAACAAAGATATTGCGTGTTACACGATATCTTCATCATTTGTAGACCGATTTCTATTTTTTTTGGCTGAATTATAAGAAGATATTCCAACTCTAAGCGTGGTATTATAACTTTGGCTTAGCGCATTGAAGGCTGTGATACGTTTTTTTTTAACTGTATTAACTAATATCATTGTAGATTACAACGCAGGACAACAGCACTGTAAAGAATAGGAAAACTTGACACAAACTCTATACCAACCCGTCTGTCCAGCGTGGTATTGTAGGCCAAAACCTCCTTTCAAAGGAGAGGCCTATGTCCAGCAGTGGACTATTACAGGCTGTTGATGTGTGTGTGATTGTAGATTAACTCATAGTACTTTGACTTTATTTACTTATGAGGGTGCATTAAAGCTGCGATTTAATTATTAATTTAATTAAACTTAAAGCTCATGTTGTATGCAATGTTGTTTAAATTGATTAAATTATTAAAAAAATCTCTGTTGGAGGTAAATTGCTTTTATATAAAATATCCTATATACTTCAACTCGCCAAAGAGCCTATTCTCAAGTATATTGTAATAACAGAGGTGTTGATTTCTGAAAGTCTGATTATAACAGAAAATTAATACCTATAACAAATGTAAATCGAAATATTGTCCTTAGAGCTTAAACAATAGAAAGAGTGATATAAATGTACTTAGATTAATATTTATATCTCAAGCTGATAATATAATCTACTCAGATAAATTGTTGGAAATAATACGAATATAACGTATAAATAATTTTCAGTTCTTATCAAAGTGTTTGTATATACATCTTAGGTCGCTATCTAAGATACAGAAACAACGTATTAAGAGTACGTTATAACTTCTTTACTAAAGAAGGCGTATAGTAGGCGTAAATTAACTGGGCTAAAATTACCTAGTACTTGTAATTTTTTGATGTCACTTTGCTTATGAATAACTATCAATTTGTGCTTTACAAAAAAAAACTAACTAAATACCTGTAAACTACACTTTGTTAAACAGATTCCCATTATAAGAGTTATAAAAAGAAAACGAATAATGAAGTCAAAAGTTTTATGCCTGAGTCAAAGCGAAAGAGAAAAAAAAACTTACTAAGGTAAAGAAATTGATGCTTGGTACGTCATCCTTATCCTTCGTATCTGCTTCTGATTCACTGTAACAACATAGATCAAATATGCATTAAAAAAAAACAATAGAATTCTCATGCGTACATACTATTAAACATTTATTTTACTGAGGAATTCCAGACTGCTAGAATTGATTAGAATTTCCAGACAGAATTTAATTTAGGAGAGAAATTTAAGTACCTACTCCAAATGTAACATTTTTAACTCGATATTGCATAAAAACGTGCAAAAATTCTTTATATATTTTTAAATATTGAAGAACCTAAACTTCTTAATTAATATGTATACAATATTAATTATTATTGTAAGTAAAGATCGAATCGATTTGTCATAAGTTACATTATAACTTAAATACAGAGAGATATTCTTTATTTTTGAGACAGTTTCTGTATGTTATTATGAATATTTATCATAAAATGCAAAATTATAAGTATATGATTTAAAACAAGTAATCGTGAACAGCGGATCATTTTGACTTTTGAAAAATTGTTTACATGTACTATAAAATTTCGTTGCAGAATAACATTAAGTTTCCGCACAATTTGCGAAGATGTAAAAATAGGTTCTTTGGAAAAACCGTAACTAATAAACAGTGTTAAAAGCGATCATTGAAGCTCCGAACGGATTTACACGCAAGTTGAAAATATGAAGGGCGAAGAATCGCGATTTTGCCGAGTTAAATGCGTGTTCTCTCGTAAAGTTTATAAGAAAATTTACTTCAGAAACTCTCCTTTTTTTTGTTTTTACTCAAAATACAATCTTCAATTTGTGTTTTTCAATAAAAAAACGATGTTTTTTTTCAATAAACCGATTATTCCAAAGTATTTTTTTTAACTAATACTTTTACACGAATAATCTCATTAAAAAACCAACCAGGTTATTTGTTTTCGATCTGAATATTCTCTATCGCACCTTTAATAATAAACTGAATTAATTCAAAATTTACGTTTTTCGAGTTTTCAACAAATACCAAATCAACTTCATCAGTAGAACACGAACAATCCAACAGCCGACTCGATACCATGAAAATGGCAGAGATAAGAGATCGTCGTTCTCTTTTTGACGAACTCGCACGTACATGAATGTCAAACTTTAAATGCGATTTCCCACAATATTGAAATTCTAAGTTAATTCAGTTTATGAATAAAGGTGCGCTATACTAATTGTATTTAAAAATAATCAAAGTTTGTTTATTTGTGTGCCCAAGCACACAAATAAACAAACTAATGTCTAGCTCTAATGTCTACTAACGATTTGTCCAGTCGTGGATTTTTTGGTCAATCAGTGATGGACAAGTCACATGAAAACAACTATCCGTTATGTGCTCAAAATATAATTTTATTTTAATAACTCTTGTAAAAATATGACTATCTGATTGTTCATGCACCTTAATAATAACTATTTAACCTAACGATCTACGAAGATAGCAGATAGTGTAATAATTACCTACCTCATTTAGGATTCTCGTTAAATAGCGGGAATAAAATAAAAAGTGTTACACATTACTATCGCACTTCATTGGCACAATTGTCTATTCTGTTACTGTTTTTAAAACACACATTTCTAACTTTCTTTTTAAACTTTTCCAAATTGTAAAGTAAAAAATATTTTTCTACATTTTTGTAATTTATGGAATGTACGTTTTTCTCTAGCACATTGTTACTTCTTCTTCTTCATTCCTTATTTTATTCACTTCCTTCAACATTGTTATTGTTACACATTAAAAGGTATATAGTATATTTTATTAAACCCGTTATTGATAACGGATATAAAGTTTTATTTCTGTCTTAGTTCTTGGTTACGTGTTACAAGCGGTTGTTTGTATCCATGTTGCCATAGATATCATTAATCAATAAATACGCGTAGACGGCTACTATCGAAACTACACTAAACCACACACACACTAAACCATACTTTACTCAGTTTCAGTTTTGTGTTAATTTCATAAATTTTAAGCATATGGTGACATTAGTAACTGTAAATTCATAATTATATATGGTAATTTCGTATATGGGAGTGTAACCACGACGATGTGTGTTGTAGCGGTCGTGATTTTTTATACTATGGACATAGTCAGCAACCGAGCATATGAGCTACTGCTGCCGTCCATGAACGCCTGCAACTCCGGAGTCACAAGCGCGTTGCCGGCTTTTGAGTTGGGTGTACGCTTTTTTTTTGAAGGTTTAGAGAATTTTTTTCAACAGACTAATTGTGCAAGGCAAAAAGTTTCTTGAAAAGCGTACAGCGGAGGAGTGCAAATTATCTAAGTAATGGGAATGGTTGTTTTGATCCATAGAACGATGGCCGAAAGCTGCGGCCGGTGTTAGTGCAAACAATTCCTCAGAGCACTCCCAATATTACAAGCACAAGCACAAGAGACACCAGTGCATTTACTCATTAACTCGCTAACGCAATTGCAAAGACAGCGGAAGAATTAGTTACACTGTTTTTTTGTGAGGCCGTGGTATAACTCCAGTCGAGATGACCCATATGTGCCTTAGCACTGCTCTCTCTCTCTAGGATACTAGGCAGACCACTTTCAAAGCTCTCTCATCCCATTATGGTCTAAGGCTGTCTTCAAGACTTCACTGTAGGGAATACTGAACGGTACGAATAACTTCTAGAAGTGACTTTTTTATGTGATTAAAACCTGAAACTGTAATAAGTATATAAATGTTATTAATAGTCCAGTGATATTAACACTCAATTAAGCACTACCCATTTCGAAATATGATGGTAATATTATGTGAATTAATGTATATGTATATATATATGTATATATAGGTATATGCCTCTAGTTATTAGTATCGCATCGTGATCGGAGCTGATTGTATCTTGAAGCTCAACTGGAGAAAATAGGAGATATTAAATACAATTGCCTTTAAAAAAAACAGATGGAAACAAGAAACCGATAATGGAACCCTTTTCTACTTTTTACTTTACTTGGTGATCAAAGAGCGATGTTTTTTGCTTGTGCTAGGCAAGAGACTTCTCGTAACTTTGTCTGCTTCATCCACACTGATATAGAAAGCTATGGAGCGCAGGTCAATCTATAGCTTCCACAGGGGTAACCTAGAATAGCATGCATTTTATTTAACATGTGTAGAACTTAATTATTTCAAAATTATCCGGTAGGTGACACTAAATTTATATCTCTACAGCCAATCCATCATGTGTACGAACACGCGAGTCATACTTTCGATCGAATAATAAAATAATATAAGATTATCAAAATCGAATGATTAGTGTCATTGGTGCTTCTACTGAGGCTTCCAAATGGCAACTAACTGAGAAAAAGCCTAAATTCAGTAATTTTTTTAATGTTGCGGAACAATTAAGATAAGATGCAATCCTCAATTCACCATTTAACCAAAACAAATTAATCAGCTTAATCGCTTTCATTACGTTGTATCAATAAACGAAACATTCCTAATGTTATGACATGTTTGTCATTGTCGATAAAAAAGACGAACGTCTCATGTAACATTGTTTGGCAATTTAATGGTTTCATTTTAATCAAAACAAAGTGACTAAGAACAATTTATGAATTGATTTCGAACAAAAAATGAATAGATAATAATCTTTTGTTTTGATAAGATGTTTTGTCAGAACAATCAACTATTGATATTTATATCTATTATGACGCTTCTCTATCAAAATTCTACATAGTATACAATAGTGAACAAATAGACAAATTCTTATAAAAAAATGAATTAAAGCCATTTTAAGTCAATCATAATATAACCTTAAGGACTTAGTGCTGATTTAGCTAAAAATAGTGACATTTTGCTTTTGATGAGTTAATAAGTATAAAAGAAGTACAAAAACCTAAAACTTGCGAAAGTAAACATGTTTAAAAAAATAAATAAAAAAAAACGGTTATAAAAGTTACTCATAAACATAATCCTGTCATGGTATAAACAGTTTATATGTAAAATGATAGACCAACTGATACTGAAAGCTTGATTTATGTTACAAATAGATCAAAGAAATCTTCTCCTAAATCCTCTATAATAACATGTTTACTTCTAATAAATATAATCAACATCTAAAGATAAAGAAATAATCTCCCAATAGTAGGTACCCTTAGCCCTTAGCCCGAAATAACCTCCCCAAATGATGAAGTAGTAGTAATTAGCTTAAGTAATTGGCGTGCCTACTAGCTTATCTTCCTTTTCGATCCACATACTCTAACGTAAGTATGCATCAGTCGAATTCCTAAAAACATCGGTTAAAATGCTGTTCCAAACGCCAGTAAGTCACAAATAGAAAATTTATTTATATCTTACGGTTGCCGAAACTGAAATGTATGGTATTCCTACCTAGTTTATCGTTAACGTTTATGGAACCACGTTTTATAATTCTTTCAGACGATTAAGTATTTAACTAATTGGTTTTATTACGATCACTTAATAAAGGCAATTAATTTGTTCATTGGTGCGGCACTATCTATGATAGAATGGAGCTGTGGGCATAGTTTTGTGTCTTCATAGTTGTTCATCAATTGAAAACAATTTGTGTTCATTGTCACTCGTCGTCATAACACAGTTTCATTTATCAATAGATTTATCTATCGATGTTTATGTGACTTAAAGAGAAAAGTGATTAAAATAAACTTACGTGTCTGAGGGTCCTCCTGTAAACTGCACTCTGGACAAATCAGTTGGTTTTCCATCCTTATCTTCCAGGTTACGGTCCCATCCATTTTCAGGTTCCTTCATTTTAAACAATTTGTGTTTTATCAATTAAGCACAAAGTGTTGAAGATTTCGGTTTCTTATTTTAATATAAATAATTACAGTACACGGTTATTTCGCGGCCTGTTTCGATCGCAACTAACTCATATACACATGATATGTTATCATTTTATCTGTTTGATAAACCATGTTTCATAATGAAAGATCCGGATCTGAATTCTCTTTTTAGCAATTGATAGTAAAGCTCACGTTTGAACGTGAAAGTGAATACTGTAATACACGGCAATGTGGCGTAACAAAAATAGGTTAACGACTAAAGCTTTGTGAAGACCTTGACACTCACGGTCAATAATGGTGTGACGTAATTCACAAAGAAGATATATGTCTATCTTGCTTCCGTGATAATATATGATAAAACTGCTTGACCAGTAAATTTAGACTTTAGAAATTAACAATATTTTATCTAGGGTGCACAATAAATAATAATTTTTATTTAGTGGATCCTTGTAACACTATAATACAAGGTAAAGAATTCAGAATGAATACCCATTTTAAATATAAAATACCATTAAAATAAAACAAAGGCTTTTGCCTGTCTTTGCAGACAAGGCTGGTTTTAGAAAGATTGCTTTATGGTTTACTGTAAATGGGCGATGTTAGTGAGTCTTAAGATACAGACGACACGAAATCCCATCAGCAATTGCTATGTTGTAAGCCCAAATGTGTTTCCAAAATAATTTATTTGGATCGAGTACTGGTGTTGGTAACATATTCAAAAGCAATTCTATGATTTTTTTCGTTTCGATTTGCGATTCAGCCACTTTTAGTGTAGGCGAACGTGTTTACCACTAGTGTTACTTTGGTAAGTGAGAAAGCCACAAGCTCTTTAGTTGTAAAAATATACCCTTTATTTTTTTGCTACAAAGACGGTAAAAATACACACTTTGTATAAATTTCAATGTATGCAATTGATGAGCAGCCCGTTGACTAATAGACGAACGGTCAATGGAGGCTCTGGAATAGGATTCGTAGGCAGTTTTGAATTAGCAGTACTGTTATATTATTATGATTCACAATTAAACTATCCAAGGTCGTGGTGTATTCTCCATTGTATTGGCCAACATTTTCATAAAGAGAATAAATAACGGTCATTCATCAGTTAGCTAGCTTGGTGAATGGTAACCTACACTAGTGTACATATGTGTATGTTACCATCCATTGCGTTTATGAAAGTACAGCAACATATTATTGATTATTGTGCTCGCATTTAGTATTGTATAGCATTGGATAATTCGGTGCCTATGATTGTCATTTAGCTTCTAAAACTCCCCTCAATTGGTATTAAATTTCCAGTGACTAACCACGAGTACTTTGCACAGATTTTTCTTTGTTTGATATTTTAAGCAAATCTTCTTTAGCAAAAAAAACAATCTTCGGTAAACGACTTAATAGTTATTGGTTTTATAGTTATAATAGTTTGCATGTTAATGTTGTTAAAAGACATTTTAGACAGAAAAATAGGTGAGTTCTATATTGTTCGTAGTAATAACAACAATTGGTGTACTGCTTATTTAAAAAATATGTTAGCTGATTCTGAAGATCCAAATATATAACTGTAAAAAAAAAACAGAGGCAGTCGTACTGCCGGCAGATTTGAAAACTCAAAATAATGGAATTACTGTCTTCTTTTTTAATATTTAAATCGAATATAGTCTGAACGTCATGAACACAGGTCGCTATGCCTACTAGGCGTCGCTAGTCTGGCGCAAAACGTCACGAGCATGTCGAGGTCGTCGGTGACGCGAAACCATTAATTTTCCCCTACCAAAAAACGCTCTTCGTGGCTCAAGAAGCTTTTACTTCAAAAATAGCATTTTACAGTAATAAATAACTAAAAATGTTAAAATCAACGTCTTTTATAATGAATTTGTATGTATATGTACTGTATTAAATGTGAATAATGTGATTCTCAAATGAGTGCAGTAAGTGTTACATTATCATATTAGAGAGGGTATAGTCATTCATATATATAGTAATAGTTTAGATACCTTCAGACGGGTCTTGTTTTTTAAGGAGCTTAAGTTAAAATGGTATTTAATATAGATATTTGTATGAGCTCTACGTAATTGTATGTTAAACCGCTGAAATGTCAAAGGAAGGTTGAAAACAATAAAAATCGACTAGTGCGCGTCGAGCCACGCCCAATGTAGGTTTCCGTAGTTACCTATCACAATAATGCGAACTAATACGAGGGATTTTTGGTGTTTTTCTGAGTGTTTAACAGAGTCGGCGTCTCAATGACGGTCTCAAAAAGGGGCGAAATAGAACGATGGTAGCTGAAAAAAGAGTTATAAAATCCACTATTTACTTTACATAACCAATCCATAAGGGCTCAGTTTTTGCTATTTTGGCTACGGAATCCTAAAAAAGGCCTAATATCTAAGTGGATCTATAGTTATTTATATTGTTATAGAGTATGATTGTCTCACTATATTTTTCAGTTCCATATTACAGAGATTTTTTCAATTTATTTTAAATAGGCTTCAGATTACATGATTGAAGTTAGATATATATTACATAATGTCAGGTGAAATGATTACACATAGTTACATAAGAATTAAGTTATAAAATATATTTTCTATGGCGTCTAAGTTCGATATTTCTTGACAGCGAAGTGCACAACATAGGATGGAAGAATTGATAATATTTGTAAGACGAATAGAAGATAAAGTTGCTTCTATTTAATTATATTGAACAGTCTGTATATTCATTTGTAATGATTTCAAGTAAAGCAATGATAACGTACTTGGTACTTCTTGTCGAGATATTCTTGAAGTAGTGTCGATGAGGTAATAACTGATTATTATACAAAGTGTTGTTTATAGAGTTTTGCAACGTCTCATTGACTCATTGACCATAGTCGAAAAATAATGTAGATCTACACAGCAGCAACTTTTTATGGCCTTCATAGTTGTAACCTCATCGTATATGTCGGCTTCAGAGAAAATCTTTTACCCAATGCTTGATGTTACCAGAGGAACCAAAAGAGTCATTAGAATAGACTTTGATGACTTAATGACTTAATGCCCAGGGCATTCTCTTCCAGTCAACCTTTGGGTGGTGTAGAAATGTTTTAAGGTAGGTGCACAGAGGTTACGTCATAATATTCAGTATACAATGAGAATATATACAGTTCACTAGACATATAAACATAAACATACACACATACACACATAGACATATAAACATTAACACTCCACATTATAAATACACATAGATACACATACAAGAATATTTATAAATAGCCATATTATATACGTACACTATGAATACCGGAATATGAGGTTACTTAACTATGGATTAGTCCATTCTGACATTTCAGTAAGAAGGACATGACATTCATGTATCTTCTTTTTGAATATAAAGCGGTTTGTGGACATCTTGACTTCGAGCGGGAGCGCATTCCAGAGTAGTACTGCTTGGACATAGGACGAAGAATTCACGAAGTCGGAGTTGTGGGAGGGACATAAAGGAGGCAGGTTGTTATCTGAGCGAAGATTTAGACAGGTAACGAAAGTGGGGAGCAAGGTAAGTAGGTGAGAACGGAGATTTGTTAAATGAAAATAGAGAGTGCACGCTGTTTGTAGCGCAAGCGATTAGTCAACCAGTTTAATTGGGAACAGAAAGAAGACACATGTTCAGACTCCCGAAAATTGAAGATGTATCGAATGAAGTTATTGAGAAGAGTTCTGCACTCTGGTTGAAATAACACACATCACCATAGTTAATTATTGGAATTATTATCGACTTCATGATAAGTCATCAACACGAACACACTGCTGTCGCCCGTGAAGATAGTTGGAGAACCATTGCAGTGTCTGTGAACTATATGATAGGATAGGATACATGACAGGATTTCGTGATTTTCGGTATTAAAGGCATTAGAGAAGTCTACATATTTGTGTAGACAAAACAAAAGTGCTAACTAGAAACGGTTCTCTCTTATACAAACACTGTACTACAGGCTGTTGAAAGTTTTGTTAGCAATAGATTAGATAGCATTCGGCATCCTAACTAATATTATAAATACGAAAGGGAGTTTGTCTGTTTATTTGCACGCCTTAGCGTGATATTGAAAACATGTTGTAAGGAATCCTGAAAAGGACTATAATGTTTTTAGTATAGTATAGTATTTATACGAAAACATTCCTCGACATTTACGCGAACCAAGCTGTGAGTAGAAACTGATTTTCTATAACTTTGGAATAACTATTATTATGGTCAGGTACCTGGCGCCCGTGACTTCTTCTAGATTTTACTATACCATACAGGCTTTCACCGTTCAAGATGAGTCAAGTTTTCCAAAAAAAAGCATTTTCCTGTCAATAGATTAGGCCTGAAAGTTTGGTAATGGATGTTACATTAATGTGAAAACAGGTTTAATGGAGTCAGTGTACATCTAATCATAATAATGAGAACAGATAAATATCTTATCAAATCTAGCTAGTGAACAATGTATACGTTCGCATATATATCATGTGGTGGCCCATCAGTGCCAATGTAGTTATTAAAACTCAAATACGTGGTCATGAAAATTATATTACCAAGAAGATCTAAACACAAATATGAATTTTTAAAATAATATCTTGTAATTTTATTGTTTTAGTAAAACTCTCGACACTATAATTAAAAATATCCTTACTTTAAAAATATAATTCTTAGAACGAAGTTTATCAAGCAATGACTTTTTAGAACTTTTAAAATATTGCTTAGAAACTTGAACTTTTAGCAAGTTTAAATCGTCCAGGCTGACATCTCATTCTAAATACTTTTTAACAAGTACAGACATAGATTCCAAACAAGAAGTAATCTTTTTTTTAGATCAAATTTCAAATGCTACAAGGTACTAGTAATCACCACACGCGATGAAATGGACAACTATTTTAAAGCATTTATTTAATAGCTTTAAACTTAACTGTAATGCAATAAATACAAGTACAATAAATGTTAGGCTCGGCATGGTAC